CAGTTTTATTGATAGTGACAAAGTTATTACAAAAGTTAAAAAGGTCGTCAAGCGCGCAAAAACTTCGGACAATCAAGCGATGCTACATACATTCAAAATGAACGAGCAATTAAAAAAGTTCAGTGCCAACACGATGACAAATTTTAAACTCCTAGAAGACAAAATGAATGACATTACAGAAAAATTATCAGACATGGTCACATCGGAGGTATGTCGCAGCAGTTTAAAACAATGGCCACTAAAGAGGACCTGGAAGTTTTGAAAAGGGAAAATCATTGAGGGCTTCTGCTTCTGCCCCCTGGGAGACCACACCCACTGCTTATACAAAATTGAGTTCCCTTGGCCCAGGGATGGCCAGGGCCAGACCCATCATTTATACAAAATTTGTTCCCCTTCCCCCAAGGATGCTCCACACCAAATATGGAACAAATCCTTTCATCCCTACGGTAGAAGAAGGAGTTTAAAGGTTTTACCTCTATTTCCCCTATTGGGCCCCACCCCTCTGTCCCCAGGGGGGCCACACCCACCGTTTATACAAAATTGAGTCCCCTTGGCCTAAGGATGCTCCAGACCAAATTTAGTCAAAATCTACTTGGCCATTCAGGACAAGTAGCGTTTTAAAGGAAAAGTTGACGGACGGAGGGACGGAGGGACAACGGACGACGGACGTCGGACGACGGACGCTGCGGTATGGCATAAGCTCACCATGGTCCTTTGGACCAGGTGAGCTTAAAACTATAGAAAATATCCAGGCTGTGGTTACAGAACAAATATGGGAAATATTGTTAAAAAAACCCACATGTAATGCTCCAAGCGCAGCGTTACACCAGTGATTCCTGTTTAGATTTTAATTCCAAGGGCTGATCTTCATTTACATGCCTCACAGTTCATTGTAAATAAACTTGTTTATCATTAGGATGTTATGCTTGCAAATACATCTGTGATTAGAAGAGATTTTGTGAGATGGATTTTGTACATAGTTGGACCGATTCGAACGCACCCAACGTAAGGCTACACATATATACATACGTACGAGTCCGGACTATTGGTTAGTAGTGAAAGCAATAACAATGTAACTCACATTAGGTGTATATCGTGTGGATGCCACCACTACTACACGAAACTATATGATAAAACATATTATAACAGCTATTACATAGGGTGTTAGTTCATTGATCAATATAATCAGTCTTATCTACAGAAATCACATAAAGTTATGTATGTCTATTTTTACAGAGCGCATTTTGCAATCACAGATGTCCCTGCCCCATGTATGTGCTTGTCTTAATGACAGGAAGAGTTTTGCCTTGTTTTCCCCAGCAAATTTACGTAATGTTTATTTTTTGTTGTTGTTGTGACATAACCCGTTATGTGAGTAATAAGGATGAAGGTATAATCATATAACATAAAAGAGTGCGGCGAGAGAAGTGTGATTGACGCAAAATGAACAAATTCGTCATACATCATATATTTTATATAAGAACAAACAAATACACCGTCAACGTGTCGAGTGTTATTGTACATGTGCATTTATGTATTTCAGACTATGTTGTATACAGGAAGTGAAACTTGCACGTGATGCTAAATGAACTAAAAACAAGGTTATGTTATAAGTAACCCTAATCGACCATGGTACATTATATACTTATTAGTTAAATTTAATATAACTTAGATAACTCTTAAAATATCCAAATATGAATGGAAGATATATAGTTTAATATTACAAATAGATATCCTCAAGGTATATAAGTTATAATAGATACTTTTAGAGAATTAAACCCGGATACAAGGAGATATACTTGGCGTAGAAGAAATTCATATAAACAGGAATATTTTATATTAAAAACAGTACGCGGTACCAATTTACAATATGGACAATATTGAAGATGTTTCTTTGGAAGACTTTTTGGAAACTTTATTGTAAGAAATCAAAAGTAAGACTATTTCATACTCATGATATTACCCCCCCCCCCCCCCCCCCCAGTAATGATACCGAGAAAAAGCTAATTGAAGATATTCAGGAACTAGAAAGGGGGGCACTATCAAGTTATGTTGATTTAAACAATATTGACATAAAAAGAGAGAACTAGAAAACTTAAGAAAGCATAAATTAATGGGCAATATGATACGTTCCCGAACAAAATGGATAATGGAAGAAGAAAAGCCAACTAGGTACTTTGTGGACTAGAATCTAGAAACTTCACCAGTAAAATTATTCCAAAGATAGAAAAAGATGACGGTATAGTGATTTTCAAACAGACAGAAATTCTAAATGAAACAAAACTTTTTTATTAAAATTTGTACATAAGAAATACTGCTATACAGGATGTAAACTTAGAAGACTTGTTTGATCCATATGATATACCTAAATTATCTCCCCTAGAATCATTATCATTAGAAGGACAAATTACTATATTTGAAATGGCAAAAACTCTAATGAAAATGAAGGATAATAAAAGTACTGGTTCCGACGGCTTCTCTGTTGAATTTCTAAAAGTATTTTGGAAACAACTTGGGCATTTCATTGTTAGGTCAATTAATTTTGGTTATTCAGTTTCAGAACTGTCAGTTACTCAAAAACAAGGAATTATAACATGCATCCTAAAAGGCGTCAAACCCTGTAATAAACTAAAAAATTGGCGTCCCATCACACTTCTCAATACTATTTATAAGATGGCATCTGGCACGATAGCAGAAAGACTCAAAACTGTAATAACTAAATTAATTAGCAACAGTCAAACCGGTTTTATTCCTGGTAGATATATTGGAGAAAGTACACGTCAAATTTATGATTTAATGCATTATACTGAAGAAAATGACATATCTGGTCTTCTATTGTTAATTGATTTTGAAAAAGCTTTTGACTCTGTGTCTTGGAAATTTATTACAAAAACTTTAAATTTCTTCAATTTTCGACCGTCAGTTATTAACTGGATCAACCTTTTTTCAAACAAAATTACACTCTGCAGTTAACATAGGAGGGAACTTGTCCAATGTTTTCACTATCGAGCATGGATGCCGTCAGGGGAACCCTGTTTCTCATATATATTTTATCTTATGTGCTGAAATTTTATCGATTCTATTTAGAAATAATTCTGATATCAGCGGCATTGTTGTCAATAATAAAGAAATTCTTTTATCTCAGTTTGCTGATGATACGTCTGTTATCCTTGACGGTTCAGAAAAATCTTAAAATGTAACGCTACAACAACTTAATTATTATGCCAGAATTTCAGGTCTTAAAATGAATTTCACCAAGGCCCAGGTAATCTGGATAGGCAGTGAAAAATATAGTAATAATAAATATGCGACAGAGCACAATCTTTTGGGGGAAGTACACGTTTTAATTTGCTAGGCATTGAATATGATGTTGATTTACATAGAGTAGTTAAGTTAAACTTTGATAAGAAACTTGTTAAACTTAAATCCCTCATAAGTTCGTGGAATAGAAGAAATCTCACTCCAATAGGTAGGATAACCATTATTAAAACAATGCTAATTTCACAATTTAATCATCTTTTTATAGCTCTTCCAAACCAACATGACCCTTATATAAAAATAAAAAAATAACATGTTATACATTTTTTTGTGGTGCGGAAAGACTGATAAAGTTAAACGTGATGTTAAAACTAAGTCAGGGTGGTTTGAAAATTATTTATTTAAAGTCTTTCATAACAGCACTAAAGGCAACATGGGTACGGAGGATCTATAAAGAAGATGCTACTTGGACTTTCATTACTGAAAACTACATTGATAAGTTCTCTTTGGCTAATTGTGGAATTCATAAATTGAAAATGTTATGTGAAGAATGTAAAAATACATTTTGGAAAAACGTTCTAGAAACATGGTATCAAACAATAGTGTCGTCCAGTATATATAGTGAAAAAATATGTGAAAATCCTTTGTGGTATAATCACAATATCCAAATAAACAATAAGCCTGTTTTCTGTAAAGAGTGGTATAGAAAAGGAGTGCTTTTCATATATGATGTTATTATAGAAGATGTTTTTTTATGATTTTGTAGGATTTCAACATAGATATGATATTAGTTCCAATATTTTAACTGTTCACTATATAATTAGTGCTATAAAACAGTTTATAAATAGTAAACAAAAATCTTTGCTTTAGAAAAGAGTATTTGTTTACCTTTTATACCTTTAATCTTAATATTATATTAAGGAAGACTAAAGGGGCACAGGATGTGTATGCTGTTTTATGCCAAAATGATACAAAACCCACGTCACAGAGGAAATGATCTACAGTTTTTAACATTCAGGGCAAATTATGGAAAAATATTTATGTATGTCCTTTTAAAACTACTGATTTTACTAAATTAAGATGGCTTCAATACCGAATTAACCATAGAATCTTAACTACAAACACACTCCTACACAAAATGGGTATAAAACAAAATTCAACTTGTACTTTTTGTAAAACAAATCCAGAAACAATTGAACATCTATTTTGGGATTGTGGTAAAGTATGTGAAATTTTGAGAGAACTAAAACAATTGTTTGTGATTTGAATTTTGACAAACAGGAATTTATATTTGGACAATTCAGTTCTAAGGATGCTGATTTGATGGTGGAAAATATCATCCTATTATTGATTAAACAATACATTTCAAAATGAAATGGCTATAAATGGAACTTAATATAACGATTTTAAAGAATCACATACTTTTTGAACTTAAATCTCATAAGTTCTTGATAAATAAGCATAAAAACTGCAAAAATAATATAGACTTACATTATAAATTGGAAAAATGGCTTCTCTTATGAAATAACATGAATAAAGAAAAAAAACTGATGTCTAAGGTTTGCAATCCCCCTCCCCTGTGTGTGTGTATGTGTATGTGTGTACAGTATATAATTGGTCTCTTGTAAAGAGGTGTCCGTTGTGAAGGGAATTGTAATCAATGTAATATATGCTTGTTGCTTTGTGTGTAAGTGTGTTGTTAATAAAAAAGAAAAATTTAATAAAAAAAACCAAAACAATACCATTATTAATAACATTTTATTCAAATAATATACATATTTAATTGAATGTATGGATTTCTGCTTCGTCACTGCGAGAGAAAAGTCTTTTATCCGACAAGCGGTCCACTTCGGCAAGAAACAAAGAAAACAATTATTAAAGATGAGATTATGGGACTTTTTCAAAACATATTATAACATAGAGTGCTTAACTATTGCAGTTTTTTTTACAATATCTATGATAATTAAAGTGTTTTACGATGGAAAACAGTATTATCGTTGTCATTTTCACATTTTGTTAAACCGTCGTGTGAAACACATAACGTATCGATACTTTCGTCGGTGGTACACTGTATCATAACATTCATGTTTATGATTCACATACTGATAAGAAAAACATCCATAATTATCAACCCTCGGAAGCAGTCCTGTACGAAAGCCTTAAAACAAAAGCTGTATATTACTTGTACCCGTTAAATGATTGATTCTGTTATCGAAGGAAAGTGCGTCTCTGAAAATATACCAGATCGCATTACACCGATCATGTCGTATGCGCTTTATGATAATTTCAGGCGCTTTTCACAGACGAATATTATGACAGGGACAATAGTTTGAGAAAAGCAAGTGAGACAGAGAGTAAAACTTTATTATATTCCAAGTTTTTTTTTAAAAACTGCCGTGTAGGAACTTCCCTTCCCTAACAAGGGTGTAACATTATTTAAATAATATTTAATGAGTAATATACATAAATTCTTTTATCGGAGACATCAAAAACTATGCTTTTCACTAGTTAATAAACCAGACTAAAGATGCATACCCGTCAGCACTCTTTTCACAAATGTAATAATCATAGCCATGATGACTGCAATTGATGTCGTCCCAGCCCCAGTGGTCACTCTGTTTGTGGGTATACGCTAAACAATGTTGACCTTCACACCACGTCTGACCGGGACGACAGTAGTTGTCTGGCTGACCCGACAGCCAATAACTATGACTAAAAGTTAGGGGACTATCGAAATAAGTCCATGTCCAGCTGCCTACCCAGTTATTAGCACCGATCAGGAAAAAATCAGAATTGTGATCCGATGCTAGGAGGAAAAAGAAATGACATTAACCACGTGATATGAGTAATATTCATATCATGTGACGTGTTATATTGTTATAATAAAGATAATAATAAAAAACAAAGATAACATTAACAAGTCATTTATATAGGGTGTGTAATAGCATGTGAATACAATTCATCGTACAACATCAAAGTGTAAATAAATGCAAACGTACTTTTTTTAACTTGTTCACGAATTTCAACTCGAATAAATTTAAAACTCGTGTTTCTTATTCTAATGAGTGCTAAAACGTTTTCATGAAGCGATAAACATATATCCTGTTTGATGATATAACATCCTCTATGCGTTAACAACATTAGTAACATTATAGCTGCAATTTTCACAAACATTTTGATAACGTTATTTATTTATAAAGAATCTGTTGACTTTAACAATAACAAAAAAAGCGTTGTATACAGTATAAACGAGTACCAAAGGACTTGTGATTGATGTAAACTTTGATATTGCCACTTGACATACAATGTATATAGATATGACTGCTATGCTGATTTACTTACATATTTGATTTATTAGGTCGATGAGGTGGGTATGTGTACTGTGGTCCGGTACTTGTGCCAGGACGCTACCAGCTGTTTGACATCTGTTCTGTAACATAAGGTTTCCTGAAATAAATCTCTAAATGTTCCCTTGAAGTTCAAGATAATATGTTTAGTGTCAAAGTCAGTCAGAATCGGTACATGATGACCGAAAATATGGCCTTTGCATGATCAAGATCCTGATTTTAGCTTTCAGCTACATTTTGAAAACCGGCCACATGTACTTTTTACATCAATTTTGTGGGACATATTGAATGAGTGGTCTGAAATTCAATATCAAGGTCTCCTCGAGGAACTTTTACATCACGAGGAGAGTATTTACTTTTCCACGCATTCCTGACGTGGAAAATTGGCTTGTCCACATATCTAATTTCAGGAAATTCCTCTTATCTATTCATCACTGTACTCTTCCGATAATAAATTAAAGGTCCATATCTCAGCTACAGATTATATACACTTGGAGTGGAAAATTCCACATGTTCCAAACTAACGAAACATAAATGTGTCACTCCGTATTTCGCATAACCCAATCCCGTAATGGCCTATCTAAATATATTTTTTCATTTTCTTAGAAAATTATTTCATTTCAACAGATTTTATTGACATGGTGTTATGGTAAAATGGATCGAATAACAGGCAAGCCTATATAAATTATCTCCATAGGTGGCTAGAGTATTACTGTAATATTATAGAACTATAGCTAAACATATTTTATAGATATTTTGAAATGAAAATACATAAATGTAAACGATAAAGTAATTAAAGGGAGGTAACTCACTTTTGATTTTTTACAATACAACAAAGGACATACATACACCGACACAGACACACACACACAAACAAAACATAAATATAGTTATTAATTATCATAATTACACGTGTACACATGAGTTACTATTTAACATTTGATACAGTTATGTAGATAGACCAAAAGTCCATGTGCAAGTACTGCACAGGTCATCACCACCTAAACTGTGTATTAATTTATTTATATGTAACTATTTAATCTACAGATTTAATCCGATATGTACATTTATCAAAAGTATAAGTAAAACATTGTGTAGAGGAGCACAAAATAAATAAATGAAAATATATATTTATTACATAATCAAATAAATGCACAACCATGTTCAACTGTTTTCATACAAAATTTCAGTTTTTGTCAATTTTATGGCTTTCTAGATCTTGTAAAAGTTAAAACGTTTGGATTTCTCTATACGAAGCATTAGTCTGTTGGTATTACCTTCACAATTAGGACAGCCGTGTAAAATAATTTCAATATCGATATGGTTATGGTCAAAGGCATAATTACTGAGTGAGTTGAATAACCGCAAATCATAGTAAATAGGACATTTAAAAAAAATGAGAGACTGTTTCCAATTCATCTGAACAAGTACATACTGGACTATCAGTTAGGTGGTCATGATACAAATCAAACTTTAAATCGCTACAATAATTTCTAAGTTGGGAAAGAATAATGTTTGCCCTTCTATCACCTTCAGTTTTGAAAATTTTAACAGATTCACTATCAGTTATAGCATTTTTATCTAACAGCCATTTAAAACTTGCAAGTGTAGGAGAGTCAAAAAGATTAGTATCCGTGTTGTAAGCTGTGCGGCACATGAAAGGAAAGAAGCTGTCAAAGTAGTTATTAGTTCTGCATATTGGTGGGATAAAAAGTCTAGTTTGTCGGAGAGAATAATGATTTTCATTAGGATTGTTTGGCAAGGGGATCAACACATCTTGTAAATATTGCGGTGAGAGTCCATACAATAATTTATTCATCATGATATATTTGTGTTTCTCTCTTATATTAGAGTCGCATAGCATTCTAACAACAAAATAACGTGAATCTTACTTGAGCATCTTTCCAGCTTATAAAGCTCTCATGGAACACCTTGAAGCACTGGCCCCCAGAGTGAAACGAGTGCCAACCATCAGGACATGCTCCACAAACTGCAGTGTTACATGTACCAAATGTTAAACCGTTTTATCAATATATTTTCATCAACTTTATATCAACTTAACTGCTACAGCAGTGTCTGTAAAAGACCAAAGACCTCTCCTGCTCTGGGTTATATCAAGTAATTACACCGACTGTGACACCATCAAACGATAACAAGGTTATCAAAGACAAGCTATGTTGGCGAGTAATACTTAAACCTGACGTCCTCACCATTGACAATATGGTAAAATTATTTCACAAACAAAATTAGGAATAGGATGACTCACGCTTTCCTTTTCATTATACATAAACAGAGTAGAACATCTATTTAGATTTCTGTAGAGTACAAGTAAGGAAAGAATCTCTCAAAAGTACGAGGTGTTAAACACAATCTCAGATAACGGCACACGTTATTTCGAAGTGTTAATTTTAAAATCCAATTTAAGGATTACCGAAATTTCAAAAAATACAGAAGACAGTAGACCACACGCATTCGTTTCTTGGACCAATATTCTTAAATATTATGGTTATATTAAGCGATATCTAATCACTGAACTTTACGGTCATTGGTCTAGAGCCAACTTATCAAACAATCCTCTGTTCAATTTAATGCTTGATTTACTAGATAGTATGACCAATTGCAGCCCATGTACGTAGGTAACCTAACGTTTCAAAAAAGGAAGAAAACATATAGAAATCCTACCGTGAAGGATCAGAGGAAGGAGAGTAAGGGTAACACTGAGTCCCCTCATGATTACAGCATAAAGTTGTCAATTGAGTGAGTAAGGTAAATGGTTTTATATCGAGGCTACTGACACAAAATGATAAAAAGTGTCTGATTTGTTAACATTAAACGTCGCATTTGGAAACTGAACAGGTGGCCGTTTGCAGTACTATTCACATGTTTATTTATGAAAGATATTTTGGTCTGCTCTCAGTCACAATAAATTTAACGGAGAGCGACTTTTCTTGAGCGAGATTTTCTTTGTAATAACAACCCATTTAAGAACACTTATTCATACACATGTGTTTTTCGAAAGCTCTGACAAATTCGGCACGTGCATACCGAGGGCCGTGAAGTTCATGACCAAAATTAAAACAAAAGTTTTCATTATTTCTACATATATCCAATGTCTATCACGTACATATTTTAGGACATTGGGTTTACGCGAGAAAGAAGAACGTTTCAATCTTAATGTATTGATATGTATTTATTAAGAAACTATGCTGTGTCTGCTCTACTTATTAGTTCGACATAGTTCCTGTCCATGTGCATTTAGTTCGTTTATTTCGGAATATTTCTGAAAGCAAACTAAGGAACAATGTTCACTCACAAGACACTTGCTTTAAAGTTTTCAGCAAATCTGACACGACAATGTCCCATTGCATTTCTAATTTATGTTCTGCCGCTTTTTACAGTGTTAAATAATTTAATTCTGACCCTTGTAGCAATATTAAATAATGATCTTACCGCTGGTCACAAGTTTAAAGTTTTGTAAAATTCCCTGCTCTACACCCCATTGCGCCCCTTCCTCAGGACAGAAACATAAACAACAACATTTTACAACATACACAAAAAAGAGACAAACAGTTACCATGACAATTACTACAACATATCATATATAACAGAAAACCAGTTACATGTATCACTCAGGTAATACTGATAATACTGTATATCCCTTCTAGACTACAAACGGTCACACTTGTCTGTAGATTCCGACCTATACCTTAAACAAACTTTTATACGGATACTTAAGGTCTCCTCAAACAAACTTTGACACTGACGACGAGCAAGCGTGAGTAAGATACACAAGTTTGGTATACCTTTGACAATTGAACGATTAATAAATACATAGAAAATGTGAAATTGTCATAGCTATGAATATGTGACATTATATAACAATATGATGATACATTCTTTTTCATGTTTTGTAGATATGGTTCGAACAAAAGAAGTGTCGTGAATGATCCTGAGAGCTTCCTACGTTTGGGACATTTTCACTGTTCGAGATGTTGAACCCGGAGCTCTTCAACCGCGGCAATCCATGTCGTTTAATTTATAGTTATATATATCTGTGGTATGTTCATGTATTCATACATACTTGATGAGAAAATATCCATAATATTAATCTTTGATCTAAGTGAAGTGTCACGGTTTACTCGAATGTAAATATTCAGTTTGAATGGAAACCATCGCGAATTAAAAGTTACATGCATCAAGGGTGCCAATCTCTTATTCAACAAAAATAAATTTTAAACGGCATGATACATTATCTTAAGTTTATTTATACATTGTATAAAGGGCATGCATTCACCTCTAATAGCAGGTTATGGGAAAGGCTATCGGCCTTAGGTCAAGGTAGTTGTGATCACGCAAAATCGCAAACAAACGATTTCTTGTTTTTAACTGCTGAATCGAAGGAGGAATTTGACCAGATATTTGATTGGAACCACTTTATGGTAGTGGGGATTCAAATTTGAGAAATGGAGGTGATGACCACTAGGAGCTGAAAGGCGACATAATCATGATATTAGAATTGACTCTAGGGTTTAGTCTCACACTAGGAATATAATTCCACTGTCATAACTATTAAATGGTTGAGATCCCCACCCCATAACAATTATACCATTGCTGGGTCTAAAGATACCAATGTAATCACGACATAAGGATTGACCCTAGGATCTGGCCCTACCCGTTGCGACTTCATTTTTTTATTATAACTTAGAAATGGTTGAGATTCCCATCCAGTTACCACATATACAATACATCTCCTGCAAACACACAGGCATACACATATAGGGAGATATTAGCCAGGTGGCATAGGACTAGTAGATAGCGCATGATAAGGCAGCTCCTGCGAATTCCTCAAAAATTGTATATCCTAATTGTATCAATTGTATAAATGTGTACTGTAAAGCGCTTTAGAGTGGCTTATGTTAGCTAGATAGGGCGCTATACCTATGTACTGTAAAGCGCTTTAGAGTGGCGTATGTTAGCTAGATAGGGCGCTATATCAAATGTTGTATATAATTATTATAGGAATAAAGAGATACGCACTCATGATATTTCAATCGGCTTCTAGGTCAGGTCTTACTCCTTGGGATTTAATGTTTGGACCATAAATGTGGAACGTTTGTGATCCCAACCCATAGCCATTTACCATTGCTGGGTATACAGATCCAGTCGAGCGAAACAGGTCCCCCGGGCCTCTTGTATTAACGCAAAATCGGTGTCGTGTGATCGAGATAATTAAATCAACATAATATGATATGTAATTGTTTAATATAAATGATGTTATAACTAGCTTGTCATTATTTAAATATTGTGTATGAAAATAATTTTAACGTTTGTAACACGCCAAACTCATGTTTAACTAAAACAAATTACGACAGAGCTGTATAAAATGTATTTATTTATCGCAAAGGCATTTATTTACTACTAACGTATGTTTCCTTGGCATTTTCTTTGATTTTTGTGGTATTGCATAGCAACATCCATCCTGATATGTCTCTCAAACAGCTATCACAAGCGAAACAAATCTCTGTGTTACATGGGTACTGTATGTATTTAGATATTGTGACATTAGTAACATTCTATTACAGAAGGGATAGGAACATTTTAATACCAATGAACTATTAAAAGACAGCAACCTTAATGTCTAAGTACAGACTAATGAACATTCTCATTGTACTACCATCACCAACGATTTTACCTGTAGCCAATTCCTCTGCTGTTTGTATTTAAGTGAATGGTTAATTGTGTACTGATGGCAATGACATATATTTAAACCAAGCAATTAATTTCAGAACACAATTGATCAAATCCTGTGACAATCTGGCCACTCCGGATCCTAAATGTATAGGAGATCTGGCTAAGAGTCATATATATGAAATTGAGAGCGAAACGTTAGTACATGAACACCTAGATATCGACTTCTGTTCTCCGTCAGCAGATATGTAGAGCACGCTACCACTGATATCTTATCTTTGGTCGACAAACCACTGTCTATATGAGAAGGGGTGCACGCACTACCAATCAGGGTTTGATTGTGCCTGCTTTGTGTTTCAGGAAATGTCGACTAACGATTAGCGTAGACGTGGTTTTACAAATGTACGATTGATAAGTAAATGTACATGTTACATGTATACAACTCAGTCACTTCCCAAATCTTCATGCCGAATCTTTATCATTCAATCTTATATCACTTTTAAGTCTTTTTGCACCAATGAAGTTCGATGGTCTACTCTGCAGCGTTGTCTATGCTGTTACCTGTTTATCCCTATACTATCGGTTCATCATGTCTGTATTGGTATCTGAACCGTATTTTCCAGATCCAGATCCAAGTAATACAGCTTGATCTGCGGTGATTTCCATGCTATTTGGACATTGGTTTGTACCGTAGACGTAGTCGCCGCGCATGTTTACAAATTCGTTTTTCTGTTTTTCGCTGTACTTTTTTAATTTATAAGTTAATTATTTCCCCACCAATTTTTCAATTATCATTTTTTCGATTGCATCTTTCATCGTCTTATTTGAAACGGAATACCCCGATGAGTTCAGTGTTGTGGTGCTCCTTATACTCCTTTATAATATAGCTTTTCTTGTCTAATTGGAGGTTATCTTCTGACTTTTATTATAGGTTTAAATCCTTCCCAACATCAAGTCTGAATCACTGACTCTTTTCTCATTACACGTATTCACTGTCAAATCTTTGATTATTTCAAACGCGTGAACTTCCTGCATTATGGTAAATGATTGCGCTTGTACTGAGCAAGATATGAAAAAAATGTCATATGCCCGAATTGTTTTATTTCAAAATTGAAATGTCAACGGTTTGTCTTGGTTGAATATGAACAGCTGATAAGAACAAACCGACCTTGTGTATAGACACTGCCTACATGACCGACTCATGACGATACTATAGGTTAGATTTGCACGCCACACTAAAAACTTTGCACATCTGTCGGAATATCATATTTTCGTTGTCACTAAATTGAGCACACGTCCCTCAGTTTAGTGTTATAATGCCTTATTCTAGATAAAGTTTTCAATCTTTTAACACACTTGTATTAGAAGTAACTCGCAATTTTTTACTTTTCCAGCTTTATGTTCAAAGGTTAACAAAGGTTAACAAAGGTGAAAATATATATATTATTCCTCATAATGCGTTTGTGTTTGCGAAAGAATCATAGGTAATGGTGAATCGTATTACATGTCAGAGATTAAATAATGTTTTAAAATTTCGCAGTGTGAAAATGAACGCGTTTTATTGCATGGAGTACACAAGTACATATCCATACATTATTAAGCTTTAGGTATAGAGAATATAACAACTTCAGAACCATTGCCAGAACCAAACTTTCCACACTGCGACCTATTTCAATTTCACAGTATACATGTTGATACTAAGTACACGTTTTAATACTACAATTATTATTGTAGTTTTAAATATGTCACTTCTTATAGACACACCTGTCACATGTCCAGTATCCTTTGCTGTGTATTGCAGATAAAAATACAATTCAACAATCACGACAGATATTTAAATTAACAAGAACTTTTGGTCGAGTTGACGTCACTCTTTAATATATTTTTGTTGTGAATAATGACTATATAAGTGAGTTACGAGACATTTCTATCTGCTCCAACTTCATTTGATTTTAAGGAAACAAACAACACACACTCGTTATAATATCTAATGCTAGAACCGTGTGAATTTATTATCATATTTAGGCAAATATACACACAAATGCATGATTCGTGATCAAATATTCCGTTTTGAACACGTATGAATAACGTAAAATACGAAAGGAAGACTTCAGACTTAGCTGAGTCTCCGTAAAACTGTAGTAAAACAACACAATGGATAAATCTTGCAGTTTTTGTCTGTATGCACACAATCTTTTTGAACCTTTAGAAGTATTTCCATCACACTTGAATATCATATGGACAAGCCAAATTGAAATTCACAATAGTCAGCTATTATACCTTTATTCTTTCCGCTCATCCTTCTTTCTAAATAGAATTTATGCATTTTGTAATTTAACTGTTTTTGTTTGTTGGATAAAAACAATCATTACAAACATTACTTGCAAATATAAAACCTTTTCACATTTTAAAACATATCTTTAAAAAACTACTTGGAAACTATATTTTCATTCATGAAAACAGAGAAAAATAGTTTAAAATGCACTTTCCTCATTCGATATCTGAATACTTCTCTCGAAGTGCGTGGGCTGCAAGTAGTTGTTGGCGCTGCAGTATTTAGGACTCTTTATGTGGTCGGGTGTAAGCTATGTATAAGGCACAGGGAGTGTTACGTTGTTTAGTTTTTCCTTGTACACTGTATCAAACATGTCACTCTGGGCCACCGTGAACCAGTTTTTCCAGTCTCCAACGACCCCTGTAAGTAAACACAGTTAGTATTAATAACTCAATATCATAAAATATATATCATACATCAAACACTGTCGCATCCAGTATCTCACAACATATACACAACACACAAAAATGTATACGTCACATTAAATCACCTACAACAATCAAATGTACATATATATATCATACGTCAAACACTGTCGCATCCAGTATCTCACAACATATACACAATACACAAAAATGTATACGTCACATTAAATCACCTACAACAATCAAATGTACATATATATATCATACGGCAAACACTGTCGCATCTAGTACCTCACAACATATACACAACACACAAAAAATGGAAACGATACATTAAAACACCTACAACAATCAAATGTACATATATATACCATACGTCAATCACTGTCGCATCCAGTACCTCACAACATATACACAACACACAAAAAATGTAAACGTTACATTAAATTACCTACAACAATCAAATGTACATATATATATCATACGGCAAACACTGTCGCATCCAGTACCTCACAACATATACACAACAAACAAAAAATGTAAACGTTACATTAAATCACCTACAACAGTCAAATGTACATATATATATCATACGTCAAACACTGTCGCATCCAGTATCTCACAACATATACACAATACACAAAAATGTATACATCACATTAAATCACCTACAACAATCAAATGTGCATATTTATATCATACGGCAAACACTGTCGCATCCAGTACCTCAAAACATATACACAACACACAAAAAATGTAAACGTTACATTAAATCACCGACAACAATCAAATGTAAATATATATATCATACGGCAAACACTGTCGCATCTAGTACCTCACAACATATACACAACACACAAAAAATGGAAACGATACATTAAAACACCTACAACAATCAAATGTACATATATATACCATACGTCAATCACTGTCGCATCCAGTACCTCCCAATACATACACAATACACAAACATGTATACGTCACATTAAATCCCCTCCAACAATCAAATGTACATATATATATCATACGTCAAACACTGTCGCATCAAGTATCTCACAACATATACACAATACACAAAAATGTATACGTCACATTAAATCAGCTTCAACAATCAAATGTGCATATATATATCATACTTCAAACACTGTCGCATCCAGTACCTCACAACATATACACAATACACAAAAAATATATACGTCACATTAAATCACCTTCAACAATCAAATGTAAAAATATATATCATACGTCACAAACTGTGCTTGGAAATATAAAAAAAATGGCATAAATCACACATTAGCACACTCCTAAAAACATGTTAGTACACAAACATACGTCACGCATTATCAAATTTAAAACGTTTACACTATATATAACTTCATACCATTTTGTTTTCTGCACTTGCGATCTAACAATTGATATGCTTCTTATATTGATATATATGTTATAATTTAATCCTATCCTATTTAAATCACGTGATTTCATCATAAAGTTTGAAGTCATTTCTTGAAGACCAAACGAACAATTACCTGGTTTCATATGATAAAGCAGTGAAATATCTACCAAAGTAAAGATGGGTTTTATCTAATTTGAACGATAACCGAGAATTACGATCTTCATCTTTTCGGTCAGTCCTGCCTTTTGAAAGTACATTTCATACCTTAAAGTTTAGATAAATCGTCATTCATATGTCCTACGAAATATACCCTTTTAGGACGTGAAACTCCTCATTTTTTTAATATTTTATTTTAATTGTATTTAGTAGCGAGAATGGCAATAACAAAGCAAAATCAATAACCTGTTTTACAAGAAAAACCATATACAGATATTTGAGTGAGGATTACTGTAGCATTGTTATTATTACCTTTCCTGTACATTCCCGGTTTATGGTCTTTCCACTCTGTCGTATCCTCTAAAGGGTCCTTTTCCTTCTTCATCTTCTTGAAGTTACACTGTTCGGCGATGTCCGCATACAACGTTGCAGTTCCCTCAGTCTTCAGGAACGTCGCTAGTCTGCTCACCTCCTTCACACAGTCCTGCAACACAAACATCACACGGGGATTTTTGTAAGAATAGATTCAAACTCTTCGGCGTAGACGTATCACTATACACATTTTCCTTAGTCCGAGTTTCCTCTGGCCCTGACACCACATTATGTCTAAGTCTGGTGTCAGGGCCATGGGAAACCCGGGCTTACATTTTCCCCTTTGTGTTGGTAACAGGTTGATTTCTTTTATATGATAGTTCCGGCTCCGAAAAATATATGCTTAAACATTTTTTTTCGACTTGATTCTTCTTTTCCCACACAGCGATTGTTTTGTAGGTATTTAATACAGGGCTGTGTCAAACAGCATCAACAGTAACACTAAGATAATAGTTGTTGATAGTCAACAATCACGTGAATGATGTAATTATGATCATTACGTGTTCGGTAATTCTGAAAGTCCAACATTAGAGTGTTGCTTCGTAATATTGAACGCTTCAATGTCATCAAAACATTAGTATATGAACGATTTGTTTTGGTTAAAAGAATGAACATATTTTTTCAGAGATTTTTTTTTTTTAATAATTTTTAATAATTTTTTCCTTCCACAGGCGAATGGTTTTTAACCATGATTGTTTTTCTGCATCTTATTTTGTTTGTTTGAGTGGTTCCTGGTTTTACGTCCGCTTCGTTACCGAGTTGTTCGATTGTAATGAAAGTTTTAAAGGAATGAAAGGAGAAAGAGAAATAGCCGTCTGAATCTACAAACAAAATGTTTAAATAACTGTTTCATAACATCGTGTTTCTGTTGCTAATTCCTGGTAAATCGGGGTAAAGATAGCTGAGGTATAGTTTCTTAAAAGTTACAAATAGTCCGTGTTATTTACCGACGTTTGTGTAATGTTATCGCTTTACAATGTCCTCCCCTACGGTGTCTACTGGGAGATAACTCGATATGTATTCAGAGAAAACAAGGTATATACATTGTACAACGTCTCATTTAAATCCTAGAAAATTTACTCCATACAGTATTTATCAATAATCTAAGATAGTCATATAGCATACATATCATTTCAGAGGGATGGGAAAACATGCTTAGAGCTAATCTCAATTTCTATTCGTCTCATGGTTGATACGTCTGTTTAAGTGGACATAAATGTCATCCATGCTAGATCTACAGCTTAAAATATTCGAGATATGTGAACATATAAAATAAAATGAAGCAGTATAAAAACGATAATTACTGATTAAATATAAATTATATAACACCTTTGCAGCGCTGCAAATTAATGTTTCCATCATCAATACAGGTCAAAACTTAAATATATCCCGAGAATGAGTTGAGTACATTTATGAATATATCTCGAAATAATATATGAATAAACAATGGTATTGAAAATAAACTAGCAAATGTCATTAAGTTCAAGGCACGAATCATGTTATAATGACAAACCATTATTACAATGCACTCCACTGTGAAATATTGAGTCTGGGAAACAATTGACTAGAACAGACGATGTTTGTTTATATTATGAAAGGTATTTGACTTTCTGTGCATCATCGAAGCATACAACATCATGCACAATACACAAGTTAGTTTTCATCTTTAGAAAAAAGTCTCAGTACCTTGTTTGCAACATGAGCTGTCTCCGAACATACCAAAATAGTCCAACAATCAATGCTAATAAAAAAAGCGTTCATTGCTCAATTTAACAGTCTGTTAATGACAAATAGTCTCGCAGTCATTATAAGCAATATCTAAACATGGCGAACATCTTTCTTCATATTACATGATCATTTTGCCTATGATGACATCGTGTTTCACAAGTCATATGAAACACTGTGTCAACGACATCATCGTCCATAGATGCTAATCGGTGTTTTTAATTACTGTTTATTTATTTACTGAATTAAATGATATGAAAGATCTGTTAATTAAAAAAACAATTGAGATAATTCACACAGTTCTAATTAATCGAAAATCTAAAACTTTGAGTCAATATACTGTTGAATTTTTAGAAACCTTATAATCAAAGAATATTTTACATCAGGTCAGACCAAGATCATAACTAACTTAAAACAAAACTGACAGTTATTCAGAATTAGATATCTCAAGAAATGAATACAATCGCAGGGCGTTAAGAGAAAATGTTACATTAAGATGAACATTAAGGAAACTGGATCTAATTGACATTCTGATGATCTATTAATCATCGGTTTTATTACCTTCTGGAGGACTAGTGGTCAATTTATTATTGGTTAAATTACCTTCTGGAGGACTGGTGGTCAATTTATCATCGGTTATATTACCTTCTGGAGGTCTGCTGGTCAATTTATTATCGGTTATATTACCTTCTGGAGGACTAGTGGTCAATTTATTATTGGTTAAATTACCTTCTGGAGGACTGGTGGTCAATTTATCATCGGTTATATTAACTTCTGGAGGTCTGCTGGTCAATTTATTATCGGTTATATTACCTTCTGGAGAACTGGTGGTCAATTTATTATCGGTTATATCACATTCTGTAGGTCTGGTGGTCAAACCTACTGTCGGTTAAATTATCGGAGGACTAGTGATCAATTTATTATCGGTTATATTACCTTCTGGAGGACTGGTGGTCAATTTATTATCGGTTATATTACCTTCTGGAGGACTTGTGGTCAATTTATTATCGATTTTATTACCTTCTCGAGGTCTGGTGGTCAAAACTACTATCGGTTAAATTACCTTCTGGAGGTCTGGTGGTCAATTTATTATCGGTTAACTAAACTTCTGGAGGACTGGTGGTCCATTTATTATCGGTTATATTACCTTCTGGAGGTCTGATGATCTATTAATCATCTGTTAAATTACCCTCTGGAGGACTGGAGGTCAATTTATTTTCGGTTATATTACCTTCTGGAGGACTGGTGGTCAAAACCACTATCGGTTATACTACCTTCTGGAGGACTGGCGGTCAATTTATTTTCGGTTATATTACCTTCTGGAGGACTAGTGGTCAGGTTTTTTTATCGGTTATATTACATTCTGGAGGACTAGTGGTCAATTTTTTATCGGTTATATTACCTTCTGGAGGAATGGTGGTCAAAACCACTATCGGTTATACTACCTTCTGGAGGACTGGCGGTCAAAACCACTATCGGTTATATTACCTTTTGGAAGTCTTGTAGTCAGTTTTTTATCGGTTAAATTATCTTCTGGACGACTAGTGGTCAATTTATTATCGGTTATATTACATTCTGGAGGACTGGTGATCAATTTATTATCGGTTAAATTACCTTCTGGAGGACTGGTGCTCAATTTATTATCGGTTATATTACCTTCTGGAGGTCTGATGATCTATTAATCATCGGTCAAATTACCTTCTGGAGGTCTGGTGGTCAATTTAGTATCGGTTAAATTAACTTCTGGAGGACTGGTGGTCAATTTATTATCGGTTATACTACCTTCTGGAGGTCTGATGATCTATTAATCATCGGTTAAATTACCTTCTGGAGGACTGGAGGTCAATTTATTTTCGGTTATATTACCTTCTGGAGGACTAGTGGTCAAAACCACTATCGGTTATATTACCTTTTGGAAGTCTTGTAGTCAATTTATTATCGGTTATATTACCTTCTGGAGGTCTTCGTACGTGACCACGTGTGCTGGGTTCTGTTGGTTCTTATTCATTGTAGTTTCCCAGTCCACTACGTAGTCAAACCACGATCCGTAGTCAACTAAGATATCAAAAACAAAGAAATATTAACATAGTGTAAAACACAGACTTGTTTAACACAAATACTTTAACATGTATGTAATGTATAATGTACTGGGTTTTAATTTAACGCTACTATATTTGTTCTATAGGAGTCATCAACTAACTTGTAGGCATCTTCGTTTTTTTCCCTGATTTCTTTGTCCCGGGATTTAGTCCTCTATTTTAACGGGTTTAATCCAAAAACTTAACATCTCTGTAGACTAACTCCCTTTCGAAGTTCTTTACCTTTTCCACGGGAATGACCAATTCAACTAGGTGAGAGGTGGGTGGAATGTGTACTACATTGTAAAAAGATATGCTTTTGTAATAAAATGTTAACTTATATTTTTCAGAGTATAACACGTTTCTTACCCCCTTCGACACGGTCCGTTGCCTTCGGCTTCACGTTTACAAATACACCTGTTATCGCGGATCCGGAATATTGATGAAAAAATAAAGTGAGTTCGTTCCTAGTCACATTAGCCCTTGATTGAAGTTGGCAACGAAGGATTATGTAATGTATCAAAAAGTTATATATTTTTTGTTTTAAATAACCCTTGTAATCAGTAAGGAATCGAATTGGTTGTTAAGGAGAAAACTATTTGGAGGACACTTTTGAGGGAACCGTTATAGTTAAGAGACAAACGAAATAAATTAGTTACCTTTGCCCTCTATGAACCGGGGGAGATATTGCTGCCAGTTGCCATCGTACTCGTAGTCCAGCAGACGAGTATGGTGGTTAAAGAAGGACACGGCTACGTCCCTCGGGTTCCGCAGTATGTATATCATCTTACACTGTTTCCGTTTGAAGTCCTCTGGTATCTGTCCGTAATACAGGTGAGTGTTTAGCACTCTCGGTGACGTCATGGAGTCTAGGCCGGACCGGGAAAGGCACTCTACCATGGACATTTCCTTCATTAGATGGATTCTTTCGGCGTTTCCGTTAAGTAACATACAAGCTATCTCCCAAAGCCAGTGGGTTCCTGTTGGAAGCAAAACATATGATATGTCCATTGTGGTTTGCGAGATTGACTTATATAAGTGATGGAAGACTAGTTTGCAAATGTTAGAATCGGGCTGCCCTATTCACAATATGCCCGGCATATTGTAGAACTGATTAAATGTATCTCTTCGCGACCCGGACATCGTCATACTCTGTTACTTCATTGTACAATTTCAATTATTGTTAAAGAAGTAACCCGTAATGTGAATCAACATATGCGAATAAAGTCCAAGTGATGCTTTGCAAATGGTCCCATAGAATTGTAGTAATTTACAGAAACTGAAAAATCCCCCTTCGGTGTAATTTTCACCTTTTGTCGTCCTTGTGAGAGCAAACTCAACAAGGGTCGAAACTAGCAGTAATCAAACGCATGCATTGGTTCAAAGGTGAATTCGATACTGGGCGGATATTTTGTAACAGACTACCGAGAGAACATTTACCGGGATTAACATTACTGATTACGGAAGAGTGACACCATATGCTGACCTGTCTTCACCAAGAACATAATTTATTTAATTAACCTTTTTTTTTTGTTAATTAATATCACTGTCTTTCAAAAAGCTAAAATGATGATAGTGAAATATATTGACAATGTTTCGAAGGAAGTCATGTGTAACACATTACAGGTCGTTTATTACCTACCTGATTTTGGATAGGCACATATGAGTATGTCATCTGGCCGAGCGGACCAATCGGACCTGCCCCGGAACTCCTCTTCCTGGTCGTGTGGTACCCGGATCACAGGTAAGTAACACCCGTCTATCTCCCGCAAAGTCATCGTCTTCCCGATGTCGTCTTTGATTTTGACCACCGGCATCTTGACGGACCTCGGACCTCGGCGATGACCTTAGTCTGCTTAATCTGTCGGAGCACACAATCAATTAGCAAAGTCTTCTTATCATCATTTCCCCTTGTGTGTTTTACGTTGTTTGTTTTGTGTTGGTCTGAAATATAAGAAAACTGAGGTTAATTTATCTTCAGAAGCTGTTTATTTTGTTGGATATTTGTTTGAGGGGCAGCTATTTAAGCCTAGTTTACACTATCGACTGAAGTGTACTTTGTGTTAGTCATTACATCTAAGAAAATATTTCGGCAATAAAATTAGAAATGTCCAATAAATGTATAAGATATTCCCAAACATGTAAGTGAAACGTCTTTTATACCGGAGTTTCAAGTAAAACAAATACGATTATTTCACTTGTTTGAACATATTTTGTCATTCATTACATTGTGTTTAATACTAAGACCACATACAATCATACCTATTGATACATATTGTCACAATCAATATATGCTTTAAACGTAATGGAAGTATTGGCAATAATTAAATGTTACATTATGAAAATATTTTGCTCTAATTCAACGATTATTAGCCCAATGACCAATGGTGTACGACTTAAACCCGTAAAATGTATACTATTAACGTATTATGTGTTTATTGGGATCACAGATATTTTCTTTAGTTCAAACCTTCTTTGACAGAATTTACCACGTATGTGCAGTATGTAATTTGAAAATTGTCTATCATAAGGCAATGTTTCCCGTCTATTTTGCATGTATTACATTTGTTTTTACTAGAAAATCTAAACCTGTCACGTGGTTGACACTGCTGTGTCTTTGTATCAATGTTGGCGAAATAAAAATAGCAAAATATTGCTTGTGAGTGATGTGTAACGATGTTTATCACATACCTGTTGAATCTTGTTATAGCAATACAAGCAATGTTCAGACCAGGAAATACAACGTTCTGTATTGCACATGTGCAATACGGAATGTTGTATTTACCTACTACATGTAGCCGGAACTACTTTTTATGGGAATCCCCTTGTCATGGCGAACTGAAAAGTTCCCGGTATTTGCAAAAAATATCAAAGTTTATAAAATCTTTGTATCGATCTTTACCACATACGTAAGGTATGTGATAAAAGCAAGACCAAACACTTGTGTTTTTCTAACGAATCAGAAAGCACTCATTTATTGCGCGGACGTAAATATTCGTCCGCGCAATAAACTCGTGCTTTCTGATTCGTTAGAAAAACACAAGTGTGTGGTCTTGCATATGTATTACATCTTTCTGATGTCTTATACAAATCAATTTAATTTATTGATCTGTTGCTTCGTCCATTAGCTGATAAACAATAACAAAAAGGTATTGATTATCAGACTCCCTGACTTTGCTACATTGTATGTTCATACCTCTGTCCATACCTCAGTAATGTTGTGTGGTCCCCGGATCCCCAATAACAATGTTCGCTATTGTATGGTTCGGTGTGCATTGTGTCGAGTAAAACTAGAATAATACCATTGAGGTGTGTTGCTTTGCTATGCATTCTTAGATTCATTATATAAAATACAAGGGTTTTCTGCTGGTCCAATATAAAAACGGAACTGGACCAAATATTGATCGCACTACATGAGTACATAACAGGATACATTGGTATCTAATACCCACAAAACTGTACATCTTATACCAACTCAATTGTTGATATTAAATTTGTTTATCTGTCTTTTTGTCCTTTTGTATTCTCATGAAAACTGTTTCCCAATGAACAGTTCCGCGAACAATGTGTCTTCCTTTCATAATGTCCCAGATTTTATGTTTGGTGTCTTTTCAGCGTTTCTAACCTTAGATCAGTGCTCCTTTAAAGTTTCGACCAATCCGCCTTTTGCTGTCACAGTAAAGTATTTGAGTGCACCTCCACCAAGGCTTATTTCAGTTGATTCTATAAGCTTTAAATGTATACGTTTCATTATAGTTTTATATATTATTATATAGTTGTGCTATGGGTGAAATTGTTACAGTAAACATCATTGTCCCGAGTTGCCGGGAAAAGCCTAGAGGACTGGTTAAAACTCTGTTCCTCTCCCTTTGGATGTATTTTCTCGCCTTAACATTAACATCGCCCCTGGTGAAGCAGAAAACGACCAAGCATGGATATAACAGTGTCTATGTTCTATAGCAGTCAAGTGAGGCGGCAAAATAGAAGAATAAAAAAGACTGTTAAAAATATGATTCCAACGCAACACTTTTACGCCTCCAGTTCACACGCAGGCACGTGCACACGTGCAGGTATTTAACCAGGTGACACAGGACTAGCGCCCGATAATAAACTCCTAAAATTCCCCATATTATATTGAATGTTTTTATTGTTTGTATGAATTGTATATCTTTATGACTGAGCATTAGAATGAGACATGCTGTTATTATGAATACTGATATATGTCGCAATGAGATATATTACAATTTTTTTTGTGTGACATGGAGAGTATAGGATAAGCCTTTCTGTGCTGCCACATGGAGACATGAGGATGTAACTTAATGTACACTCATTCTGTGAAAAGAGACGAAAACATGTGTGATGCCTTATTTTGTCATGAATACTTAAGGATGTATGTTACCTTCCATTGACATGGAAACGTGAGAATGTATAGTACCTTAAAGTACCATTGGTACTTTCGGGTGTACACTAACTCACTCTAACAAAGAGACTCATATATGTATGCTGCCCGTACTACATTTTGTCACATGGTATGCTAACTTACTGTGATACGGATACGTAAGGCCGTATGCTTACTTACTGTGATACGGATACGTAAGGCCATATGCTAACTTACTGTGATACGGATACGTAAGGTATGCTTACTTACTGTGATACGGATACGTAAGGCCGCATGCTTACTTACTGTGATACGGATACGTAAGGACGTATGCTACCTTACTGTGATACGGACACGTAAGGCCGTATGCTAATTTACTGTGATACGGATACGTAAGGCCGTATGCGTACTTACTGTGATACAGATATGTAAGGCCGTATGCTTACTTACTGTGACACGGATACGTAAGGACGTATGCTAACTTACTGTGATACGGACACGTAAGGCCGTATGCTAATTTACTGTGATACGGATACGTAAGGCCGTATGCTTACTTACTGTGATACGGATACGTAAGGCCGTATGCTAACTTACTGTGATACGGATACGTAAGGCCGTATGCTTACTTACTGTGATACGGATACGTAAGGCCGTATGCTAACTTACTGTGATACGGATACGTAAGGCCGTATGCTTACTTACTGTGATACGGATACGTAAGGCCGTATGCTAACTTACTGTGATACGGATACGTAAGGCCGTATGCTTACTTACTGTGATACGGATACGTAAGGCCGTATGCTAACTTACTGTGATACGGATACGTAAGGCCGTATGCTTACTTACTGTGATACGGATACGTAAGGCCGTATGCTAACTTACTGTGATACGGATACGTAAGGCCGTATGCTTACTTACTGTGATACGGATACGTAAGGCCGTATGCTAACTTACTGTGATACGGATACGTAAGGCCGTATGCTTACTTACTGTGATACGGATACGTAAGGCCGTATGCTAACTTACTGTGATACGGATACGTAAGGCCGTATGCTTACTTACTGTGATACGGATACGTAAGGCCGTATGCTAACTTACTGTGATACGGATACGTAAGGCCGTATGCTTACTTACTGTGATACGGATACGTAAGGCCGTATGCTAACTTACTGTGATACGGATACGTAAGGCCGTATGCTTACTTACTGTGATACGGATACGTAAGGCCGTATGCTAACTTACTGTGATACGGATACGTAAGGCCGTATGCTTACTTACTGTGATACGGATACGTAAGGCCGTATGCTAACTTACTGTGATACGGATACGTAAGGCCGTATGCTTACTTACTGTGATACGGATACGTAAGGCCGTATGCTAACTTACTGTGATACGGATACGTAAGGCCGTATGCTTACTTACTGTGATACGGATACGTAAGGCCGTATGCTAACTTACTGTGATACGGATACGTAAGGCCGTATGCTTACTTACTGTGATACGGATACGTAAGGCCGTATGCTAACTTACTGTGATACGGATACGTAAGGCCGTATGCTTACTTACTGTGATACGGATACGTAAGGCCGTATGCTAACTTACTGTGATACGGATACGTAAGGCCGTATGCTTACTTACTGTGATACGGATACGTAAGGCCGTATGCTAACTTACTGTGATACGGATACGTAAGGCCGTATGCTTACTTACTGTGATACGGATACGTAAGGCCGTATGCTAACTTACTGTGATACGGATACGTAAGGCCGTATGCTTACTTACTGTGATACGGATACGTAAGGCCGTATGCTAACTTACTGTGATACGGATACGTAAGGCCGTATGCTTACTTACTGTGATACGGATACGTAAGGCCGTATGCTAACTTACTGTGATACGGATACGTAAGGCCGTATGCTTACTTACTGTGATACGGATACGTAAGGCCGTATGCTAACTTACTGTGATACGGATACGTAAGGCCGTATGCTTACTTACTGTGATACGGATACGTAAGGCCGTATGCTAACTTACTGTGATACGGATACGTAAGGCCGTATGCTTACTTACTGTGATACGGATACGTAAGGCCGTATGCTAACTTACTGTGATACGGATACGTAAGGCCGTATGCTTACTTACTGTGATACGGATACGTAAGGCCGTATGCTAACTTACTGTGATACGGATACGTAAGGCCGTATGCTTACTTACTGTGATACGGATACGTAAGGCCGTATGCTAACTTACTGTGATACGGATACGTAAGGCCGTATGCTTACTTACTGTGATACGGATACGTAAGGCCGTATGCTAACTTACTGTGATACGGATACGTAAGGCCGTATGCTTACTTACTGTGATACGGATACGTAAGGCCGTATGCTAACTTACTGTGATACGGATACGTAAGGCCGTATGCTTACTTACTGTGATACGGATACGTAAGGCCGTATGCTAACTTACTGTGATACGGATACGTAAGGCCGTATGCTTACTTACTGTGATACGGATACGTAAGGCCGTATGCTAACTTACTGTGATACGGATACGTAAGGCCGTATGCTTACTTACTGTGATACGGATACGTAAGGCCGTATGCTAACTTACTGTGATACGGATACGTAAGGCCGTATGCTTACTTACTGTGATACGGATACGTAAGGCCGTATGCTAACTTACTGTGATACGGATACGTAAGGCCGTATGCTTACTTACTGTGATACGGATACGTAAGGCCGTATGCTAACTTACTGTGATACGGATACGTAAGGCCGTATGCTTACTTACTGTGATACGGATACGTAAGGCCGTATGCTAACTTACTGTGATACGGATACGTAAGGCCGTATGCTTACTTACTGTGATACGGATACGTAAGGCCGTATGCTAACTTACTGTGATACGGATACGTAAGGCCGTATGCTTACTTACTGTGATACGGATACGTAAGGCCGTATGCTAACTTACTGTGATACGGATACGTAAGGCCGTATGCTTACTTACTGTGATACGGATACGTAAGGCCGTATGCTAACTTACTGTGATACGGATACGTAAGGCCGTATGCTTACTTACTGTGATACGGATACGTAAGGCCGTATGCTAACTTACTGTGATACGGATACGTAAGGCCGTATGCTAACTTACTGTGATACGGATACGTAAGGCCGTATGCTAACTTACTGTGATACGGATACGTAAGGCCGTATGCTAACTTACTGTGATACGGACACATAAGGCCGTACACTTACTTACTGTGATACCGATACGTAAGGCCGTATGCTAAGGATAAGTAAGGCCGTATGCTAACTTACTGTGATACGGATACGTAAGACCGTATGCTAACTTACTGTGATACGGACACATAAGGCCGTACACTTGCTTACTGTGATACCGATACGTGAGGCCGTATGCTAAGGATAAGCAAGGCCGTATGCTAACTTACTTTGATACGGATACGTAAGGCCATATGCTAACTTACTGTGATACGGATACATAAGACCGTATGCTAACTTACTGTGATACGGATACGTAAGGCCGTATGCTAACTTACTGTGATACGGATACGTAAGGCCGTGTGCTAAGTTACTGTGATACGGATACGTAAGGCCATATGCTAACTTACTGTGATACGGAGACATACGGGAGTCTGAAAGCTTATAATTACTGTGACATGGATATGTGATGCCTCACCGAAACATGTACCTAGTTTATGAAGAGTATATCATAAAAAGAATATACATATATATAAGGACATCCGTGCCATTGCCAAAAACAGGCACTATACACCGGAAGCTGCTTTTTCACCATGACTGTAGCTGGATAAATCGTTCATGAAAAAATATACCTGGATGGCTTTTATAAAAAACAGTGATGATCAAGTCAATACAAAAATAAATACAAGTGCTCTGAGTGAAATGACTCTGGGCCAGAATTCGAACCCGAGTCCCTCGATCATTGTATTCCGCTCTCGATCTAGCTAGCTTAGCTAGCTGGTCAAAGGGTAGTTACATATATGTATATTCAAAACGAAACTAAGGGGTGTACAAGCCTACACTGGACTTCTCTAGCGTGATTCCTGAAGTGGGCCAGGGATCCTAACGTATGTTAATTGCACTAAGTTTCCCTACCACTTCGTACATTATGTAATTGTAAACAGGGATAATTTTATAATATTGAATTAAATTATTAGATGTTGCAACTTTTAAAATAAGTTTAAGAGATAGTCATTTTAGCAGAACTTACAAGGGAGATCATTCATACACTAATCGCACGATCGCCTTACATGTACCTTTAAATACTTAACGCCCGAATGCAGATCTGGGTCACGTTAAAATCTCCCCGTAGCAAGCGCAAGGTTATACACAGTGAATGTTGTTTACAAGGTAAATAGTTATAACTCCAGAGCACACATATTGTATAGAACATATGTGTAGTGGCGATACAAACGATGACATTGGTGTTTACTTGTATGTATATATAACTCTATACTTACCTTAAGGTAACTGAGTGGTCAAACGTCCGGTAATTAGTGGGAAAACTACCCAGTTCTGAGGAGCAGTGCGGAGCACCCCTACATGTTTGTATATCCTACTGTAGTGGTTCCCCTCACTTCCGGTAGACCAGGCAAGCGTTTATCTCTAGCTCACACAGTTTAAAGCTTGACTAAGCTGGGACATATTAAAATCAATTGCGAGGCGGTAATGTGTGTGTGCTGTGGAGGCTGCTGCTGAATGCCTGCGCGCTCTGTCTAATGACACGTAAAGAGTGTCTAGCGGAATCCCGGATAACTCTATTATATCTGTAGCTTCATTCTCAATCGATTTTCTGCCGAAATTGGATCTCATCGTCAACCTCTTTGATTTGATTATCGGGGGAATTCATTGGAGTAGAGGGATTCTCTGGATCTTAGTCGAGATGAACGATGATAATAGACTGTGTTAATGCATTACAGGGTGAAGTGAGATGTTATATTGTGGTATATGACAACAGAATGATTAAGATGAGAAACATAGCTATCTTATAGTTTGTCTATTGTGTATGGAAAATAAATGATTATACATTACAAGATTAAAGGTGTCATTTGAATTATGAAAAAATAAGGTATCGGAAAGATAAAAAAAATATGTATTTATTAGTATTGACGTCGGTAGGTTTTGTTTTATGAATTTACGTCTGAGATTAATTGCTTGTTAAGAGATATAAGATAGATTGATATTATAGTGTGATAAAGAATATAAACAAACACAATAGCAATTCCTAATGCAAACATAAATATAGTGTAAAAAGGACCGGGTGTTGTTCTGGCCTAATTAAGATAGGGATATACCGCGTGATTCCTAATAAGAGTACGTGATCCTTGTGATGCTTCCATACTCGGGGTGAGTAATTAACGCAACTATAAACGCCGTATCACGGAAAATAAATCCAGCATGCCTAACAAATAATTTCCTGAGAAAAACCCCCCATTCATAGTTGATGTCCTCATGAATTATCAAAGGTCAAATAAAAGCGTTGTTGATCGTTCGTACATAACGTAAGCATTGGTAAAGTCGTTTGTTCCGATATATAGAGGTTACACAATGAGTGGTTGTTGTATATGGTATTTCTTTCACTCGAGTTAGTTATTTTTCAAAAGTTACAAAAAACACGAGCTTTACCGAGTGTTTTTTTGTAACTTTTGAAAAATAACTTACGAGAGTGAAAGAAATACCATATGCAACAACCACGAGTTTGTGTGACCTGTTTCTACCACAATGAAAAAAAAAAAATACTCCGAGGAAACATTGACATGTTCTGTATGCATATACAGTGTATATGGGTTTGTTTACAATATCAGATGGTATTTCTTTCTTTCTCTCTAAAGCTCGTGGTTTTTGTAACTTTTGAAAAATAACTAACTCGAGTGAAATAAATACCATATACAACAACCACGAGTTTGTGTGACCTGTTTCTACCATAATGAAAAATATCCCGAGGAAATTGACATGTTCTGTATGCATATGTGTTCAATCTGATTAAAATCGTCTGTTACATGACTCCGCCTGTAGTACGATGTAAACGAAGCCATGTAATATAACATATGATTTTAATCAGATTGTACGAAGTTAACGAAGCCATGTAACATATGATTTTAATCAGATTGCATATGTGTTTTGTTTACGATATCAGATGGGGCGTAAGGATATGACCTGTAGTAAAATGCCGCTTATTAATATGCAAAAATGACAATTTCAGGAACAAGTGGAAATATTATGATTTATTACAAATCATAACAAGTACGTAACACATTTATTGTCTTCAAAGCAATAAAGAGGTATGGCGGGTTGCTATGCCTATTTCCCCAAAGTTATGTTACGCTAGTGCGCGCATCCAACCGTGTACTGTTATGACGCGTCCTCAGGTATTTTTTTATACAGGTAGCTATATCGGAATCCTGTGTCTAAGAATAGATTATTGTAAACATGGCTATTAATACATGCATTTAACGATAAAGGCTCAACACAATGCTTATTTCACGTTATTTATATTGATTTATAACAAAGTATACGCTTATATGTAATACAAGATCGTGCAATCTATACGAAACAGTTTTGAACGGATTTAATTTTCAACACTACTGCCTGTGTTCGGTAAATCGGTAGCATTCAGAATGAGTTCTGAGAAAGTATCCGGTCTCGGGCGATAATCCGCACGTCGAGCAAAACATAAGTACTACAATACCATGGCTACGTGTGAGCAGCATCCAACAGTACGAGCACCTGCTCGACATTCACAGTACCAGCCGGTTATATTGCGCTGTGAAAATTCTAGGTTGTGTTGCTTTGATGAAATGTGGCGGGAATTAAGACGAGCATGAACAAGGTCGGGTTCCTCACGATTGACATAGATGACATTTCAAGCAAATGAGGCTGTCCTCGCTGATAAGTTTTCCCGCATTTTCGGTAAAATATTTCCGATAACAACAGTTCATTTTTCTTGCTTGGCCTTTTTTTATTCTGACACAACAAATCCCACATATTTGGTATTTCGGCATTATTTGTTGGTGTTTGAGCACTAGATATAATTAGTTTGCCAGTTGGAGTGTCAAACAGTTCATAAATTTCATCAAAGCTGTACTGTACACATGTGCAGGGATTTGTTGACATGCTTTGATAGAAGTATATCGCACTAAATAGTAACGAAAGTATTACTAACAAAACTGATAAATCAATAGGTATGTTATTAAAATGTAAACAAAATTTTCCATCGATTTGAAAAACAAGATATTGCTTCATTAAGGAAAATGATCACATGCCTAAATATTTAAAAAAAAAAGAAAAAGAAAAAGAAAATAACTGAGGGAAGATTCGAAGCTGCACCGTTTATTTTTTAGTCACAAGTAAACTGCGTTACACATTCGGCTACATAGAACATATGGATATTGGCAATTACAAAATGATTTAAACCGAGAAACACATGTCGCAGTTTAGAGAAACTTGATCAACCCTGTTTTTCATTATTTCAGCACTTTCCCAATGGAGGACCACTTTTCCGTAATACGATTTGTTTTTGCATATTACATCACGGTCACAAAAAGTTTATTCAAAAGTTGGTCCTCGGATGGGAAAGTGTTGAAAGTATTTTTTTAAGTCCGGGAAACCCCATCACTTTCATAGATATAGTGTATATGGCTATACTTGCAGTATCATATAAGCAAATTACCTAATTTCTCAGCAGTTTAAAAATTCATATTCAATTGGTTCTATATCTTTTGTATGCATTTTTGATACACGAAATGTTTTATTCCTTAATTTGTTTACCCGTTTTCATAAATGCCGACTTAGGGAAATACGGGCAGTTTTCCGCCATACCTCTTTATAGAAACCAACATAAAAAATTAGTAATCACAAAAACAATGACGAACTACTTTCTGTGTATCATCATTTCTGCCACCGCATGAAGCGGCTTTCCCGCCAAATTGTCCATTCAAAGGAGTGTCGGTCAAAGTTCACCGTGTCAGCCAATCAAAACGCGTTTAGAGTTTATACCACGTGTGTTATACAACAGTTGTAATGATTAATTGATGCCTTGGGAATTGAATAACACCCACCTATTGTGGTAGAAACATATATATATATTAATATTTTGTTTAAATTGATGACTATAGAAATCAATCGATATTTTCTGTTGAACTAGTTGGAACAGTTAGTCATTGCGGTATTATTAATTAACTCGGGACTGAATTTTAAAAGGAAATCAATAAATATAGAATACACGACAGAAATCTGTCCCCAAGGACCCCGAACGGCAATGTGATATGTGTGTGGTCGGTGTTAAGCTCTGATGACATTTACAGATATCTCCTTTAGTCAGTCGATGAGAGCCTCGTCCATCTGGATGACGCTATACATACATAAACATACAAATGTATAGTGCATTTTTTACCGGTGATTATCAGGGATTATCCATTTGATAAAGCCCGATGTCTGCTATTGGTCGAGGGCTATTATTGTATGTGATATAGCTTTTACCATGTACTATTCTCTATATGTCGTTACTACAGTGAGACGTGTTATATCCTTACATGTGAAGATATCATTTATAGCAGCTGTTTGTCAAACCAGAATGGCACTTTCTATTGACTGCGTAGGTTTTCAGTTTCAAGTTCAGATGATACGACTGCAGAACAAGTGGTTGTGTCGGTACACGTTTGCATCATACATATGTTATTTATACGGTCACATTTTTGTTTGGAAATCTTACCAGATACTATCAGCAACGCCAGAATTGCGTTGTGTAACTCATTTAAAATAATCCTTTGCCAGTACTTTTCTGACGCATCAATAATTTTAGGTCTCGTTACTTTGAAAAAATGTAATAAATTCAAATTTAATGGTTTTCTCGTTAAATACAATATATATTTCCCTCGTATGGTAGAATATACCGATACTTGTGATATATATTGTATATGGTATTCTACGGGAAGCCATTAGTATCCTCTATACATCCAGACTAGTATTTGTACAGTGAACAGGGACAGTGAGACTAATTGACGGAATAACAGCCATCTGTTGATTTAAAGTGTTATATGCTACATGTATATCAACTGGTTACATAGTTAGTGATTTCGACTTTGGGAATATACTATGTTATGTAAGTGATCGATTTGTTTTCATTCACAGCAGTTATTTGTTTATAATATGATATTTTCAATTTTACCTAATACTAGTGTTTGATCTTTATTGAAACTTCTATTAAGTATGTAATTTTTATTATGCTGTATTCATAATCAGACATATTTGTCATGTCAATTAAAAAATGTAATAATTTATCAAAATACATCCAGAGTAATACATTAAAGAACAGAACAATATTTCTACAAGTTCCAATGAACATTGTATGACATTATCTGAGTTACCCCCCCCCACCCCCCCCTTAATATGGTTTGCATTCCACCATAACAACTATGTCCAATAGTATACTCGTTGCCCAGTGATAGAAAATATATCAATGACGTTATGGTGAAATGCACTCAGAAAGCGATGCAAAAGGATAAACAAATGTTTACAACATAACATTATAAACAAGATACGGAGACGGAATATCGCTTCCCAATGCACAAAACAGTTAACCGCTTTACTGCTCTCTTTGAATGCACCGTATACACTCTCATAAGATGAACATATCTACTTTAGTATACACAGGTTTGAAACCGACAATAGTCAAGGTTTTTTAAGTATGCAGAAATAAATATCACAGACTCGTAATATTGTCGGCTTAATCCACTGTAGAATGTTTCCACACCTGTTTGTGTTCATATAGATACACTATTACACATCCTGTATAACAAGGCTTGCAATTACAGTATTTTCTTTATATATGTTTTAATCACGTCTTTTACGTAACTTGTTTGTTACTGTTGTGAATCCATTGCCTGAATAAAATTCATCTATTAGAAAAGACTTACACACTGTAAGAAGCGAGTCGTCTTTTCAGAGTTATATCAGTAAGAGTCAAATAAATAACCAAGGTATGAATTGAAGCGGACCGGATTACTTAATTGCTGAAAATAAATAAAATCTTTCAATAGGCATATCGTGAGTCTGTTCTGATAACTTTTAGAAAGTCACCGAATCCTTCGTTCCAACTCCAAATTGATAAAACTAGGTCAGATGAACAAAGGAATATGGAAACCCTTGAAAAAAACCAATAATTTATTTATAAGACCATGTGCAAGCGTGTTCTGTCTCATCGACGACACCCGCTATGCAAATGTAGGTTAAATCTAAGTGTTGTCACGTCACGTTCTCAAAGCGTGAACCAAGGGAGTTATAGCGAGACAACAAGGCACGCGAATAAGCATATCTCCCAGAGAAATACACTAAGCTGCATCTCTGGAAATCCAGCATGTGTTGTAAGGTTGTCTGTCAGCGTCAATGGTCTTGGTGTTAAATTTCTTCCTTCCTTTGTGACCAAGATTAATCGATTGTGTTCATATAGGCATTTAATCTGGCTTTTTCCAGGGTTCATGCAAGTATGAACGGGGGGAAAATTACTTACACACCACATTAGCGGCGAAGCGAAGTGTGTATGTATAGTTCCAAATCACTATCAATGGAAAGGAAAACCAAAATCACCATTTAAATTACGATTTTTTTGCATTCATTCATAAATTCAGCATTATGACGTAACATTGCAACGTCATTTCGGGGATCTCGAAACTAATTCACGTGAAAATTTCTCACGGCCCCAGAATGAGCGACCTTGTTGAGGAAAACATTGAAGAAACAGTGGTTTAATTTGCGAATTAGCTATAATTTAAGTTAGGTAATTCTGGGAGAAAGTTTCCACACTGTAGCCTCGTGTACGATGGAGTCGAGGGATGATGATTCTCGAGAACGGAAAGGTAGAGGTTGACAATCTGTTTGAGGAAAGCGGTATTAATTGTGACGGGAAGTGCATCTAGCTACACGTAGATTCATAGATACAACAACATGAAAAAGTCTCATTTGTATGTCGTGGCAGGAACATTATGAACCGTAATTCCAACCCTGCGTCCCTCGACGTTCGGCTGTTTGTACAAGTCTCGACTACGCTATGCGCGGCGTATGTTGGCCTAGTGTTTACGTGCCGCGTTCGTCATGATCGTGGAAATTCATGGATAATTCAGTATATGTGTAAGTAAATTCACCTCTTTTGATACCTTCTAATGTTAGAAACATTCAGATTGATATCTTATATCGCCACTATTTTGATAATTGTGCAGACCCATACGTGACATCGAGTTTGATCTTTTGTCAGATTGATATCGTCGATACGTTAGACGACAGAACGTGTCACTAATGTCAACTATAGTTTAAACCCATTTATTTTTTAAAACTTCTTATACTTAAAATAATAAAAACCAGGACAAAGATACGACAAAAAACGACAATTCAATTGCTTACAGAAAAGCTGTTCATACTAATATTAACAGCTGTTTTTCGGGTCACATGTGCTACTATTAACCAATCACAGAACCTGTAGCAAATTATATATAAATAAACGGTTGTGATATAACTAAAAACATATATGTACCGCAATAACCTGAAATGGAAACGTTTGACAAATATTGATAAATGGTAGAAAATAATTTTGGATACGTTATATACTAGTCAATTGATGTATTCTCTTTTGTGTATTTGTGTAAATTGGATATAATCTAGGATGACATTTTGCTACATCACTTATCCCGACTCGATATATACATGTATACGTAACACTCACCGGTGTCCTTGCCATGGACTTAATAGAATATACCTGTACTTTTAACGACTTATTTTTAATTTTTAAGGTTGAGGTTATCTTTTTTTCTGTGGATGTTTTTTTTTTCTTTCTTTGGATTTTGTGTATAATTGAGTTTCCTTTCTGTTGATCATGTGTATCGTTGAGATATCTTTTATCTGTTGATGTTTTGTTTCGTTGAGGCTTTCCTTTCTGTTGATCATGTGTATCGTTGAGATATCTTTTATCTGTTGATGTTGTGTTTCATTGAGGCTTTCCTTTCTGTTGATTATGTGTATCGTTGAGATATCTTTTATCTGTTGATGTTGTGTTTCGTTGAGGCTGTGGGTCAAGTATATGATTTTTCTGTATATGGTTAAACAATAACATCATCATCATCATCATCATCATCATCAGTTTTCGTGAATCATAATTTGTGAACCGCTTTGAGACGACCTACGAACTAGGTTGTGATAAAGTGGTATATAAGAACCTCGAATTATCATCATCATCATCATCATCATCATCATCATCATCCTATTAAATTTTTCTGATAATGAGATTACACCGAAAAACATTAGACAAAATGGAATGAAGCACACAAAATTAAGGCTAATAAATCAAACCAAAACCGAAATATACTTCATTGCCCTTTACATTGAAACAACTCTTCAATAACATAAGTGTAAAGTGCATTACTTGGTTTTTCAGTTTGCAATGCATAATAAAGGGTAATTGAATTTGGGTATACTAACACTTTAGATATGGGTAAGTTACATGATTAAATCGAGTGTCAATTGTCTTTCCGTACGTAGATAAAACAAAAACTCTTTTTAACTGCAATAGCTTTGTATTTAAATAAAATTATAAAGATATACAAAAAGAACAACATGTAAAAACATACATTGGAGTACATTATCAGTGTGATACAAACATTGTTGAAATGAAGATTTACTTTTAGTAAAAAGGAAAAAGGTATTCTTCGCAGACGCGCATAGAACACACAATCTGTCTCATTATTACCAATCAATTGTCCCGGCGGTGTTTTCCTACTGTGCCACGCACGACAAGGTCAATAGAACTGAAAGAGGATTGCTCGATTTCTGCCATATTGCCGACATGTTTTTATATAGATAGAACCAAATCACCGTTGACAAGTGATTGGGTCTTTTGCTAATTATTAACACAAATTATTAAAGAATACACAAAACAGTTTTAACACATTTAATAAAAGATGTGTAGATGTGTATATAAAATAGGTCATATACTAGTCTTGTGTATTATAATTCAATCATTCAGGCGGTTATCGAGTATGGGAAGGACATATGACATCAGGTCAAAGGTCACATAAAGGCGGTAGCATAGACGCACCAAATGTCAAAACGCATACATTCTCTTACATTTGGTAGAAAAAACGGTGACTAATATAAATGAATTATACCACAGCATAAACAGGGAAAATCTCAAGTCGCGGGTTAAATCATGGGTCAATAACCAGGTACTCAGAAAGACAAGCGTTCCCACCACACTATATATCAAATCCCAATCAGTATCTCATTCACTTGTCTAGATGAAAATGAGGCTTTGAAAATATATCTTTATAAATCAATAAAATAACTATACATATCATAAAAACAGATTAAAGAATATAGTTGATAGAATAGCATGCCGCCAAAAAACGACGAGGACTTGTCAGACAATAGAAAAAGTGTACACTGTACAATATCATTAAAAATCGATGGAATAGTGTTTTGTTATCTATCATATAATGGGTTTTAAGAAAATACTTTAAAGAGGACTTGTCGGACAATATAAAAAAAGTTTACAATATACAATATGATTATAAATCAAAACTATAATTTTAAAGAAGTGTTTGATAGAATAACAGCTTTTACACGTTTCCCCCCAAAACAGCATTGCGGGTATATACAAAACATATATAATAAAAAAAATGTATACATTACACTTATACTAGCGGCGTATACAAGTCTGTGGGTCATTATTCCGTGAGTCCCTTTCCAATGTATCATAGGCAGATGATGATGCAGCCATAGGTCCTTTCTGTTGTTTTACGATAACATAATCACACAAATGGTCGTTTGATTTTGATTACAAGGAAAGGGCCCAGAGTAGTGCTGAGTTTGATGATTTAGTTGGAGGATTCAGCTTTTTCCAGTAATTCGAGTAGTGTCTTTATCTCTTTCAACTCCTTCTTGTCAAATGCGTTAAGCTGATGCAAACCTGGTTTCGCTTCTGTAATGTACAATCACCAAGTGATCCAAAATTAAGCTTTGTTGCATAGCAATGATGTTAACTGATCACGTCAGATGGATTGTTGCAAGCATAAAAAGGCACATGTTCGTTTTAGATATATGCTAAGTCTAAAACTTAAGAAATTCATAATAAAGGAGGACTGAGTGGAATTACAAAACTGTATAACACGAAATGTTCGTGGGCACTTTCCTTCGTAGTTTGAATCCATTTAGGTAGTTTCGTGGTACAAACTTTCGTGGATATCGCTATATTTACAAAAAGTATACACGTTTATCATCAAAATTTGTTGTACATATATTTATTTTCGTGGTTCAATAGCAACCACAAAACCACGAATGTTTATACTCAACGAACATTTCATGTTACACAGTATACATTATCAAGTGAGTGACATGTTCATATGAAAGCATATTTTGATGGTTCAACATTAAACAATATTAGTTAATTTACTGTTCACAGACGAATGAATCCCGACAATATTACGTCAGTATAAGATTTGTCGAGACATATCGTAAGGTTATGTTTGGACGAAAAGCTTCAAATGTAAACAAAAATGTTAAACAGTTCCTTTTATACTGATTCAATTCACTGCAAATTTATTATATCATCAATGAAAACTCTTTTATTTATAGATACATTAGACACCGTTAAGTAGAACGTGCCTTTATATTTACATGATATAAAAATATGACGTATACGATTTGTTTTTATTATCACATAAGATTTACAGAACACACAAACCTTGACAAACTTTGGAGGTCAGACTTTGACCGATGGAGTATAACGCGGAGAAATCGTCGACTTTAAAATAGCTATCAAGGTTTGAGGATAAGGATTTCAGCTCGTCTTCTGCAATGTACTGCCCGATGCCTGTAAAAACACAAATAGAATAACTGTACAAACAGAGTAAAACAAGTGAACATACCTTCACTTAATAAAAATATTCAGATACACAAAGACTCATATTACACAAAAAATATCTATATTACGCTACTACACTTCAAAACCACATCATTGATAAAAAAACTGTTTAGAAATATTGTTTTGATTTACCTTTTGACTATTATTTTCGTCTTCGTATTTTAAAGCTTCGTACCTCTAACAATGATAACTATAACTCACCTATTGCAAATACACGTATTCCCAGGTCATGCGCTGCTTTTGACATTTGGTTAGTTTTCTTAGGCTGTCGTGAAGTCCCATCAGTGAGCACAATTCCAATCTTCGGAACATCATCTCCTCGTGCACCTTGCTCTGGAGTGAACATCTTGCAATACAGCGTTTGTATAGCCTCGGCTGTATACCGTTGTCCTGATCTCCATTCCACGTTTGAGATGGCCTTTTTCATATCATGTAACGATGTGTACGAATTCAGGTTGAACTCAATCTTTGATGTATTGGCGAAGGTTATTAGGCCAACACGTGTGGCGTCTACGCCGATGTCGAACTGACTGACAACTTCTCCGATGAAGCCGAGTAGTTTGTCAAAGTCCGATTGTCCGATATTAGTGGATGCGTCCGCCACAAACACAATATCTGCCGTCCGTTGTCCACAAACTACGAAAAAAAACCCAATGATATACATAGTTTTATAAGTTCACCGTCAGTGCTATTTTTTATACCTTGAGCCAGTCTTTTTGTTATTGATTCTATGAATGATCAGACCGGTTTATGTCCGGTTTTAACCATTTACAAAAATCAAGTATTAATTACACGCGATTAGTTTAATTGCTAAAAAGTTTTAAGATTTTGTTAAAAAAAACAGTATATGAGGGAAAGTGTATTATATGACTATTTCCATATTCAACCCCTTAAAAACACTCGACCAATATTAGTCCTCAGGTTAAAATTCACGTCTCGGGTTGTCACGGCGTTAGATTAAGAAATAGTCATTTGATAAAAAATCTTACTATAAAAAACACGCCATTATAGTCAATATAGCTAGACAAAATATTTAATTTTAATATCTGATTGTCTTATGAAAAACATCTTAAAAAATTAAAAACACTAAATATGAAATAATGAGTTTCTTATGTACTTTCATCACGTCAATTGAAAAAGAAGTTAAACTTAGTTTGGGAGTTCTCATAAATTAATTGTGTCACTTACTCTCCTGTGGCGTTTCCTGTGTGTTCTCTGGAGAAAAAAAATAAATATATGATTAAGTAATGGTGCAAAACGAAATATTGTATGAAAACCTTTTAGCTTCAATTTTGACTGAATCATGACTTGAAATTCATGTAAATGTATTCACACATGATAGTCAAAAACACTGTTATCTGTATTAATTTCCTCATAACATTCATTTAAAATATCATGCATGACAATGTTACTGTTTACCTTTGCAAACTCTGTAGGCTAAGATTTCTTTGATTTTGTCAAGAGCTCCAAGATTTTTGACAGTGAAAACAAAATCTGAATTCGGTTCGGATGCAAGGGTGTTTAGCTCAACCTTGTTCACGGATCCCACACCTAAGTAATCAACATTTAAAAGTAAAGAATATCATGAAATATTTTTGCTCCGTTTAAAAATATTATTCAATTATAGCCTTTGGCCGAGGTCGATACCTGGATTTATCGACCCGAGAAAAAACATATTAACAGATGACGCAGTCCGAGGTCAATATATCTTTTATCGGGTCGATAAATCCAGGTATTGACCGAAGTTAAAGGCTACAATTGTTTTATTATTTTCAAAACATTAATATTAGCAATCTGAAAAAACATAGCAAAAAGCTGCGGAAGCGGGACGATACGTTCATTTGGAGACACGTCAATATTCTATTTTTAGAAACACCCAGTCCTTCAACATAAATCACGCGCTCCAAGTCAATATCAGGGTTTATCGGTGGACACGTGATTCACTTCTGGCCAATCGCTTGTCGGGAATAATAAGACCATTTATTCATACAAACATCAATCGGACGATTGCATCGATGGTGTCACAATTTTGTGCAGAATAAAACACTGAATTATGTTGAAGAAGGAACACTTTTACATGTCAGTAAAATTTACTTTTTGAAATATGTAGTTTAGTAAAAATCATGAAATAAAGTCGGGATATCTCACCGATAGCAAACATGTAAGTCCCCTCGTTAAGAACCTTTTCAGCTTCCTCAGAAGTCTTTTTTGGTTCGTTAGAGCTACCGTCCGTGACGATGATGCCAATATGTGCCACCCCTTTCCGGGCCCCATTCATCACTGAGAATCCCTCATTCCTAAGCATTTGTAGAGCCTCGTGGGTGTAGGTGTTACCACCCCTCCACTGTATATTCTTTAAGGCGGATTCGACCTATTGAAAGGTCAGGAGGGAATTTTAAACTTCTCTAACTGTCAACTCTCTTAAAAAGATATTTTGAGAATAAAACACAACAATGACTATGATTTTGACACCGTAGAACCATATCTAAAATAAATGATAGTAACATCCCTTAATATTTCTGTCTTTCACTATTATAACACGATAATCTGATTGCTTACAGTAGGATTAATATATTGGCAAAATTGTTGGCAAAATACGGATCCACCTCAACATAATCTGATAATGTGTCGATATCGACTCAGGTTATGCCTTCATCTTTTGCAAATGTCGACACAGGTATCTCTGAAGTCGTAAGTATACTACTTATCTACTTATCTGTTATTACTATCAATGTTCCTACCTCATCCTTATTGGAGTAATCATTGAGCTTGAAGTGCATGGTGGCAGTATCACTGAAGGTCAGGACGCCAACACGGGTCAGATCGGCGCTTACATCTAGGTAATTGATAACATGTTCTACAAACTTAAGTTCCAGCTTAAAGTTTGCTTCTGAATGAATGCTGCTCGACTCATCAAGTAGAAAAAAGACATCGGCAGGTTTTCCCTGGCAAACTTTTGAAAAATAAGAATTTTTATTATTCAGAACTATAAAGTATTAACAGGAATAATGTGTCACTACACTCAGAGAGTTACAATGTATGAGAGAAAAGAAAACATATTCGGAGACAAACATATTTATGATATATTAGAGTCCTAGGGTCACTGGTGTAATTAGACAAATATGATACACGAACAGACACCTTTTGACAGAAATTATGGCATTCAAAATAGCATAACTGGCGTCAGAAATAGATATATGAAACGATTCAATTCATTAGTGCATTATTTTATCGATGTATTTTGTGATGAATTAAATAATATCTATTTTTTGGTTTTATTGGTGTACATTGGATATGTTGCAGCATAAAAGCAGTTCAATATCTTGTGTTCAAAAGAATATGTGAAAATATATATCATTCTGATGCAACGATTAAATACAATTGAACGCTTAAAGCTTTTATAAAGCATAACTGTGTGGCTATGTGTACCTTCATTTGGGTCCTCTCCCTGTGGTATATCAGGAACTGCAACATCAAACAGCAATTATTGGTTTCATTTTCATACAAATACCAACATACACATGGTATTTATATTTTTTGATACACGAGTAGTAAAAACATATCAATGAACTTGTTTCAATACAGACTAACTCTTACTGATAAATGTACCCTATTACCAACCCATTACAGAAAGATAATTGCTACTCTGCTTATTTCCTTTCTTTCTTTCTATTGATCCTTTTGAAATCAAAATGGGGACCCCACCTAAAAAATAAACAATATCGATCTTTTAGGCAACACGAATGACAACAGGCATGGGGTGGCTACACACGACCTGTACTTGTAGTAAATGTGAGAGAGTGCTACTTACAGATTGGTTGTTCTATATTAATTACAGGATTCGGTGACGAAACAGCTGAAATAAAAAAAAACTTATTACATTGAACATTATTAAGCTTTTAAAATACGTAATTGTGGTATCACTCATTCTTTAACTAAATGATACAAATATTATAAAAAATACCATCGCACATAAACTAATGATCATTTATTAAGTCGAATTTAAGTTAAGTAACAAAGTACTTCAGCAAAGTATATTCAGTTATTCTATTATTTTTGTTTATTATAATATCACAATAAATTTTCAAGGAAAAGTGCAAAACCCAATCTATATAAATGACTGATGAATAGCATTTACAATTAGTATACTAGTTTTGCTGTATTTGATATTTGTATATATATAATGTCAAGTAGGTGGCTTACGGGAGCACGCCCTGTAAGACAGAGTCTCTTTGACGACCTTCGTGTTCAGTTGGTTGTAGCTGTCTACAGTTATCATAAACTTGTTGTCTGGGTCGACAGAAGCTATTCCAAGGAGTTCTTCCTTATTCACATCAGGTCCGATACCGACAGCAAACAAGTATATACCGTCGTCCTTAGCTAACTGCGCTTGCTCTTGCGTTGCGGCTTTGCCCATTTTGGTCGAAAGCCTGTCATATTTCCCAGGGTTGGTTGTCCCGTCTGTTAGGATAATACCCACGTGAACTACATCGTCACGAGAACCTTTACCGGGAGCAAACAGATAGGTACGCATGCGTTCAATAGCTTTATACGTCCTGGTGGCTGGTCCTTGGCTATACCGAATGTCGCCAACGTCTTTAATGACTCTCGATTGGTCACTTCCGGCGTTGAACTTGAACTCGTCATACGCATTTCCGCTATAGGAGACCGCGGCAAACTGGACATCCTCCGGCCCAACGTCAAAGCGTCTGACTACATCTTCGATGAAATTCTTCTGGATATCGAAATCATCCACTGATATACTACTGGATGAGTCGACAACGAAAGCGATGTCTACCTTGCATTTCATCTGATCTACTTGATGACCTGAAAACATACGGATATTTACGTTTTAGCAATGAAACATACATAGTCATGTAATATAAGCAACAAAACGTAAGTAAAAAACTATATCAGGCGTCGAAGTGACACCTTTACAAAATCAAAACACGAACACATTTATCTCCTAAAACCACTATAGATTTCCCCACTCTCGACTCATTGGGAACACCTGTAAGGCAATGGTAAACGTTGTTTGGTAACCAACTAGTTGGCAACACGCAGGAAGCGATTTTATTTCCCAATTATGACAACATATAACAATACTTTGCGCCTTCTCCAACCTTTGTAACGTCATATTTTATAATTGTTTCCTTTTTTGGAATTGTTTATGCTTTCGAACTATACACCAAACTTTTCCCCTATCAAAGTTTGTTTCGAACTTAAACAGTAATTGCTAAATTATTTTGCAAGCTTTCGAAAACTTCCATTGTCATACAAAGAGCACACAGGATTGATATCACGAAGACACAATGTGCCGAGTCAGTAAAGTCAGTTGTAACAAAATATCGCGAAATGACACCGGTCGTTTGCACTCTTTGCCTAATAAAGGAAAGAGACGTTTTCGAAAGCTCGTAAAAGAAGATTTAATTTCTGTTTGTGTTAAAAACAAACTAAGCATTTCACGACTATATTTCGTAAGTGAAACAGTGAAAAACGCCCATTGACAAATATACAAATTCCAAATTTTATCGAGAAAAATATGCAATACTAAAGTAAAATTTAGCTGAGATAGAGATTGATTTTACGATCAAAGGCTTAGGAATCTCCCCTTTCAGCATTCCGTTCAAAGGCAAGCATACTAAAGGAAATTTATTTTGACTAATTAACACATTCAAATGTACTTACCAGTAGTCAGTATGATCTGAAAATACAAAAAAGCAAAGGAACAAATAGGATTGTATTTTTTTTTCTTTTTTCGAATAAAGTCATATAAATAGACGGTAAAGCTAAACTTCAAACATGCAACCAAATGCAGTTTGGGAATCAGTTGTTCAAAATAAAGACCTAAATTCAAAAATTCCCTATGTTAAGGATAATACCTACATTCGAAAATATGAGACGCAGTGTCAGGAACTATGATCCCCAGGATATTTTTCCCATCAAAGAATACCTGGGGTTTTAAATTTTACTCCGATATACCAGGTAGCCAGAAACACCATAGATAGCAAGATATTCTAAGGTTCTAACGGGACCTGATTTAATCTGGTCAGGTATTTTACATGACTTCCAGCTCTTGTGTTGATGTAGCAGGTTCGTGTTTCTATAACTTGCTACAAACAGGAAATGAGTTGCTGATGATCAGGTAGAGTCAACCTGTTACTTAGATAGATGAATATACTTTCAATATAAACTTTGTTTATTTTACAGCAATAAAAGTTATTTCAACTTATATTAATCACTCTTAATGGCCCGGATGTAATAGCGTGGGGTAACCATAGCACCCGGAAAAAACGCACGCGGTCGGGTAGGTGACCGCAAACCTTTACTTGTAAATTTGTTTGAACGTAAATCATAAACATTTTAAGGTTAAGGCTCAACAAGCCCCCAAACAGATGTAATAGTCGCCCTAAATGTCAACCCTCTGGTAAGTCATATTCGAATACCCTTATCAAAAATCGGAATATATATGTATGTAATTTAAAGATATCGAACTGGTACATGATCTTTTATAAAGGGACATAACCAGGTTAATGAGGTCAAAATACGGCATTAAGGGTGATGTAATGATAAAAGTTGCTCACCAGAATTACAAATTTTCTATCTCTTAAGCGACCAAACTAAATGTTTCATGAAGGGCTTCACTTTTCTTTACCTATGTGAGGAGAAGTATACCGGCCTCATAAGAAAAAGATTGTTGCTATGGAAAAGTAAAAAAAACATAATAAAACTTCTGCGTATCATATTTGACCGGTATATATATGTAAAACCATAAACATTTGACCATATAAAATGTCCCTTTTCAATACTAAATGTTTTTATAAAAGAGCTAGAATTTTAATAAACATTATTGTACTTTTCACCGTCAATGTTTATAACATGTCCAGCGCATTCATACAATCACAGAATGTTATCAAATGGCACATCATCTAAAGTTCATTTATCGATCAAGGTTACTTAGCCTATGTTTTCTTATTTATAAATTGCTAAGATGTTACCAAGTGATTTTACTATGATTTATTGGTTTCGCGTGGCAACACCTATCTTTATTTGAGGTTGAAAGTCCTCTCACCAGCTAGCAGAAGAGAAATAAAGCTCTGCATGACCAAGGTGTATAAATAAACTTTAAATTATGGGTCATTTCTCAGCACTCAGTTGGATCGCAAAAGAGATTGACATGTTATAAGTCCAGTGAGCTATTTTTATTAAGACATCAGCCTTAATGCCTTATTTTTGAATATGTAAACCTAGATATGTATTTTTTGTATAGCCAACGCACAAGTTCAATATATACAAATAACATATATGAGTTCAGATTTTTAATTGAGGAACATGACTGATCAGGGGGTTGGAATTTTAGGTGACTACAGCATCTTTTAGGGGGCTTGTTGAACCTTAATGGCACTTTTTTATATTTGGTTCAGATAGGATATTACTTATGGACAGATTTACATTGAAAAACATTTTTGGTTTCCCATGTGTGCACTATTCTTAGTAAATTTATATTGAAAAATCCTATCAAAATAAGTTGAACATAATTATGTTAATATAAAATAGATATTCTACTGCACTTAAGAAAATTGTTTTGTTTTAAAAAAAACCCATTGTGAGATAAGAAGGGATGCATGTATATGTATGACATCAATAAAAATAGCATCATGACATAGGTGTATCAGACATATTAACTTCCTGTTAAATATATATATATAGTGGGAAGGTCACTTGCGGTTAACGAACAGTATATATTTGTTAACTTGTTGTAATGGTCAATAATAAACACACTATAGTAACTCCTGTGTTATTGAAAGACTGCGAAGAATGTTTTCTGTGAAGATAGTGTTTAACATTTTACGATAATACAAATTTGACTTGTTATATGACCTTAGGGAGTACAAGATGTTCTTTCCTGACTAGAACGTGTTTGTACCTAATACGCCTTTGTGATTTAGGATTTTGGGATCAAGGTTATCGTTTCCATGTACAATGTATTTAACTCATATATCATTTAGCAGGATGGCATGTTCCTATTATTATAAAATTGTCTTTATTGCTATAGGAAAACAAAAGTTTTTACTATGTCATACTTTGTTAAGAAATATTACCAAACACAACATTGTTGTCATCTTTATGAATAGCATATTTATATTGTATTGTATTATACATTACTAAAAGTAGCTAATTATCAAAATAAAGCATAACCCATTAGCCACAGGCATCCTTTATAGACGCAGAAGTTATTGCATAATATCAAAATAACTGCATGATGGGATGAAATAATAATGTTTTGGAGAAATATTATGCCTGATACGATAAAAACACAGATATGTTTACTTTTTTACTCGATATGGCCTCCAATCTCCTGTTTAGTAAGACAAAGTGTAATATACCAATACACTTGTAAACGTATCTATAGCAAAAGTTTCGTTTAAAGAATATGGAGACTTTTTAATAGGGACACACATACTGTTGTTTTCATTATTTCTTAAGAAAGAGTTAACTAACAGATCAGTGTAAATACATTTAATAAAATTCAGCTTAATCGCAATATTTAGAGTCATGCAAAGCAGAATGAAATGATATAATGACATATAAAGGAACATAACTTTAGGAAAGTTGATTGAAAAAATAATAAAACATAATTTCTGATACTATTTAAAGAACATCAAAAGTCCTGGTGAGGGTGAAATCTTTCACCTATTCAGAGGTTCATCAACATTACAGGTGCTAGCCCCGTCTGTCAATGCGCCTAGTAAAGTTGTGTTGACAGACGACGCAAATCCCTTATTTATGAAGTGTGTTGAGGAGGGGGAGTACACGTACAGTTGTAGCCGGATCTTAAGGTTTGTATGGTGTAGGGTAATGTAAGGTTTGTATGGTGTAGGGTAATGTAAGGTTGAATAACAATGTATCAATATCATACGCAGTAACAGTGTTAGACAGAGGTACGTGAATTTCCATAACAGGTGAGTAGCCAGCCTATTAACACCAAAGAAGTCACAGTATGCATCCATTTTTTCTTTCCATGCATTCACTTCAAAACTATAAAACCACAGTTATCTAACATTTAGCTTCCATTAACCTTTCAAATGCACGCTCCATTAGCTAATACTCTATAAAGGTAAGATTTCTTCACACCTTTGATAATGTGGTTCATAAATATATGGCCATACATTCTGGTTCGCATATCTGTTGAAAACAAATACCACAGGATATGACTAACTGTTTTAAGTCTCCCGAACGATAATAGTTGTCAAAACAACGTGTGCTGCATTGTCAACCTCAGATAGGAAATGTTGGGCGTTTTACACTATGTTGCAGAACGGGATCAAAGGTCATTGCTGCGCCGTTGTATGTCTATGCATCAAATGAAACCATTGTTACTTCAATATGAAAGTCTAACGCTGAGGTACATGGCTGAGTGGTAAAACACACAGACCACATCTTTCGCATTATACACAGCCATTCAAATTCTTCCACATTTAACACATTAGTATGCACAGCTTTTTGGTCATATTTAAACATATTAAATACGTGCTTGGAATATTAAGTATCTTATTTTTTAACAGGAAAGTTTAACGTGTATTTCATAAATAATAGCAGTTTTCTAGAGTTGCAGACCGAATTTAACATCTATAAAATGTGCAGAACGATCAGTCTTTGCTTTGCAGTAATGTTGTATAAGCCGCTGAGCTCAAGGTAACAAATATTCTCTGCTTATATGTCTTTCCAATATATAAGATTCGACAATGTATTACTATCTGTGTGCGTTTGGCAATTGATATAGATAATATTATAATCTATACTCTCACGTTAAAGTGTACCACGAATCGAAAATATTATCATTCTATTTGATCGAAACACAAAAATGTTGAATACCACATACAAATCGGTCGGTCCAATGCCGAGATATCGACCTGTTCTAACAAGACTTGTTAGAGAGCGAGAACAGCCATACAGCGTCAGATTGCGAATTAACATGATTTTCGAGGAGTTTTATAATCATATCGCCAGAACATTCGTACAGTTGGTTGAATGGGAACCAAACTGACGAATCTGAACAGGGTAACACAGACCATAGACAGGTAGCATTGTGTGTCCGGTTTCTGAACTAATGCATAATTTGCTGAATAAACAAATTTGAGGGAAATTACACAAAAATGGTTTCTATGCTGTTGATCCACATTTTTTTTACATATGTTGCTGCTGTTTTTGAGTAAAATATCATATCAATGGAAATAAAATATATATAAAAATTATCTTTAAAATTTAGATTAGAAAACCTTCATTGCAATCTTGTTTTAAGATTTTGTTTAAGCCATTTTCATCTGCTTTGGCGGTAAATATTCTGGTGATTAAAATACTTTGATGTCACGTTAAAGATGTCACAAATTTGGATAAAATCCCTCAGATGGTACAGAAGGAGGAGATTTCAAAGATTTTACCTCTATAACCCCTATTCGTACCAACTCCACTGCCCCCAGGCGGGCCACACTAACAATTTATACAATATAGAGTCCCTTTGGCCCAAAGATGATCCAGACTAAATTGGGATAAAATCCATATGGTAGAAGAAGGATTTCAAAGCTTTTATCTCTATTTCCCCTAATGGGCCCCTCCCCTCTGCCCCAAGGGGGCCAAAACCCACCGTTTAAACAAAATTTAGTCCCCTTTGTCCAAGAATGCTCTAGACTTAATTTGAATAAAAGCTCTTTATCCCTACAGTAAAAGATGGTTTTACCTCTATTTCCCGTATTGGGCCCGCCCATCCGCCCCCAGGACAAGTAGCGTTTTAAAGGAGAGGTTGACGGACGGACGATGGACGCCGCGCCATGGCATAAGCTCACCGATCCTTCGGACTAGATGAGCTAAAAAACAGCTATCCGACGGAACACAGAAGGACATGTGTCCCTACCTTAAGAGCAATAAATGATTTATTATACCGAGACAGTAAGATTGGTCAGGCTTTTTAATCTCGTTGTCCTCTGATAAAGTCACTCGGAAGTCAGATGTCCTTTATTTAATTTATTAGAAATACTCCGAACAGGTGAATATAACCGAGGCTATTTGAGTGCAAGAGAGAAACAGACTATTTATTCCTCCTATATCAGAGGTAAAACAATATACATTGTGCAAAAGCGCATAAGGAAAAGGGATATGTGAAATCAAATATTGATCTTAATAAGTAAAATATAAACAAATTATAATGGGAAACTGGAGAGATAAGGAGGGGCTTCACAAAAAAGAAAGTCTTAGATATGCCATTTATTCGTCAATAGGACAAGTCTACAATGAGTAATTGGATGTTTAGACAAGACGAATTAATCTTAAATATTCTGACCATGAGACAAGACGCATCAATCTTTCTTATTATGATGATCAGACAGGACGCATCAATCCTAAATAGTCTGTTGATGATTAGACAAGACGCATCAATCCTAAATATTCCGATGATGATTAGACAAGACGCATCAATTCTAAATATTACGACGATGATTAGACAAGACGCATCAATTCTAAATATTCCGACGATGATTAGACAAGACGCATCAATCCTAAATATTCCGATGATGATTAGACAAGACGCATCAATTCTAAATATTCCGACGATAATTAGACAAGACGCATTGATCCTTAGTCAAGATGCATTAATCCTTAATATTCCGACAATGATTAGACAAGACACATCAATCCTTAATGTTCCGACAATGATTAGACAAGACGCATCAATCCTAAATATTCCGATCATGATTAGACAAGACACAACAATCTTTAATGTTCCGACAATGAGTAGACAAGACGCATCAATCTTTAATGTTCCGACAATGATTAGACAAGACGCATCACTCCTTAATATTGTGATGATTAGGCAAGACGCATTAATCCTAAATATTCTGATGATTAGAAAAGACGCATCAATCCCAAATATTCTGTTGATAAGACAAGAGGCATCAATCTTTAATATTATAAGGATTCGACAGGCGCATCGATCCTAAATATTCCGATGATGATTAGACAAAACGCATTAATCCTAAATATTCCGATCATGATTAGACAAGACACATCAATCCTTAATGTTCCGACAATGATTAGACAAGACGCATCACTCCTAAATATTATGGTGATTAGAAAAGACGCATCAATCCTTAATATTCTGATGATTAGACAAGACGCATCAATCCCAAATATTCTGTTGCTTAGACAAGATGCATCAATCTTTAATATTATAGGGATTCGACAAGGCGCATCGATCCTAAATATTCTGATGATGATTAGACAAGACGCATCAATCCTTAATATTCTGATGATTAGGCAAGACGCATTAATCCTAAATATTCTGATAATTAGACGCATCAATCTTCATTATTATGATGGTTAGAAAAGACGCATCAATCCGAAATATTCTGATGATGAGACAAGACGCATCGATCCCAAATAAATCTTCATTATTATGATGATTAGACCAGACGCATCCATCTTTAATATTCTGACAATGATTAGACAAGACGCATTAATCCTTAACATTAAAAGGATTAGACAAGATGCATCGATCCTAAATATTCTGATGATGATTAGATGTGACGCATCAATCCTAAATATTCTGATGATGATCAGACAAGACGCATCAATCCTAAATATTCTGATGATGATCAGACAAGATGCATCAATCCTAAATATACCGACGATGATTAGACAAGACGCATCAATCCTTAATGTTCCGACAATGATTAGACAAGACGCATCAATCCTTAATATTCCGATGATAATTAGACAGACGCATCAATCCTAAATATTCCGATGATGATTAGACAAGACGCATTAAGCCTTACTATTTTGACAATGATTAGACAAGGCGAATCAATCCTAAATATTCCGACAATGATTAGACAAGACTCATTAGTCCTTAATATTCCGACAATGATTAGACAAGACGCATAAATCCTAAATATTCCGACAATGATCAGACAAGACGCATTAATCCTAAATATTCTGATGATTAGATAAAACGTATCAATCTTAAATATTTCGATGATGATTAACAAGACGAATCAATCCTTAATATTCCGACAATGATTAGACAAGACGCATACATCCTAAATATTCCGACAATGATTAGACAAGACGCATTAATCTAAATATTCTGATGATAAGATAAGACGCATCAATTGTAAATATTCCGATGATGATTAAAAAAAGATGCATCAATCCTTAATATTCTGATGAAGATTAGACAAGACGCATCAATCCTAAATATTCCGACGATGATTACACAAAACGCATTGATCCTAAATATTCTGATGATGATTAGACAAGACGCATCACTCCTAAATAATCTGATGTTTAGAAAAGACTACGTAAAACGTTGTTGACAATGACGAGTACACTCCATACACAGAAAGACACCTGGTCATTTCGTTGATGTGTATCTTATTTACATACTTACATTGCGACTTTCAATGCATTTAAACTGATTTATCTCGAGTTACTTTGTTCGATAATTGACCATTAAGAAACAGTTGGTTTCGGTAAACTATAAATGACCACGATGTTTGTGAAATCATGTAAGCATTGACTCTATTAATGAAAAAAGCATGGCAGTTTGGTTCTTTTCAACATTACATTTCCATGTATCGTAACAGCTACGTACTACCTATTTGATATTACATTTTGTAGATGAACATACGTTAATATATATCGCCTGGTGATCCGATCATTTACATCACCATAACATGGACAAGCGTCTCTTTAATTGAGAGCATATCTGCGATATGTTTTAAACAAGTTCAAGTTCAAATATTTTATTTTCGTGTCAAACACATAGTGTTTATAAAATCACAATACATATAAACATTTGAATGTAAAATGTGTCTAGCCAAAATGACTTATTAGACACGTTATAAGAACAATCACACTATTTACTATCTTCAGACATGTAATGTTATTAACCAGTCTTTGTAAAAACATTTATGCTTGATAAAATTGTATTTGTAGCAGGACTATAATTTCCATATATATATAATACCATGTACCCCAACAGGGTAAGAGATATACAAGAGTGGTTGGGCCTATCCCTACCGACAGATCATATATCCCCCACCCCATACCTGCACATCTAAGTATAATACATGATTTAATATGGGAGAAACATAGTTCTTCTCCTCCACATAAGAGAAAGTTGGATAGCTAGTGTCTTTTGAAGAACTGGTTCAAACATCACATATCTGATAAGTTTTGTTTATATCATTGGAAAATTAATATACATTGTTTGTTTTCGTAAAAATTACCGATCTAAGATCATCCTAAAATAGACATTCCATTAAAAATTGATATTCGTTTTCTTCATCATTGTTGCACAATTTACATAACCTATTATTGACAGGAATCACAGGTCGGACATGCCTACCTTTTTCAGTTGAACTTGAACTTGAATTTGTCTTAAACATTGAAACGCAAAATTGAAATGTTTGTGCAGTAGTACTTACCGCTTGGACCGCAAGAACAACGCACAACACCCACTGCATGGTTTCACCTCCACTGATTCAGGTAAGGACCGCCACTTTAAACAGATAAATGCTTCCTTTTAAAATATTCACGTTCTTGCTTTGTCAGCAATTCTTAAAAACATCCAGTTAAGCGTGCAATATCCGACAGGTAAACGGTCGAATCAATGTAAGGCAATCTCCTACAACACCTGTACGCATGTCTACAGCTTAAAATAGTGTTTTATTACTCCTCGGTGTTTTTAAAATCAGACCACAATCACTTCATAATAAAATCATTATGTTATATAATTCTGAATGAGAATATTGTATTTTTCATATAAATATATAAATAAAGAAGTAAAACATAGATCGAGAAGAAAGTCTGATAACAAAGACAGTAAAGATATTGTAATTTGTTCTTCAAAATATGATATTTCCAATTTTGTGCGTATCATTTTGTATGATTAAAAAAATATTTACAAGCAAAACATGAACAATAAAATAAATGAAATAAATTTCAGGACTAGGGTTTACAAGTCATACATAATTTTCAAATGATTTATCAATTAAACGGAGACCAATTTATGGTACTATCTTTAAATCAACAAATACAATACATTGCTTTATTAAATCACAGCTTTAAAAGAAATCGATAAGTTAAGACCAATAGATTGTTGTCCAATGAACACAGTTCCGGTACATCTTGTACATGTTGCCTCCGATTTTTCTTTACGTGGATTATGTCGTTTGTTATGGTGTCCGTGTTTACGTCTGTATGTCGACTGTGAATTTTGTTTTTGTTTGTTGACGCTTTGCTGTATGGTCCAACTGTACTTAAAGAGACGACAAAAAACAATTAACTTTTCATTCACGTGTTCATATTTAACACCTTCCCCCTGGTTACTATGACAACGATGTTTATGGCAGGTTACATGTCATATTTATGCATGTTTGATAAAGGCCAGGTATTTATCTCCTCGTTTATAACTACATGTCCTGATATAAGGACCAGGCGTTGTTAGAAACCTACCAGATAGATGTCTATATAGCTTGTTCACAAAGACCATAAAACGAATTATTTGTATTTTAGAATAATGCTTACCCGATACTGCCAGATACAGTCGACCTTGGGACACCAGAAACCCTTTGATAAAAATGTTAAAACCGACATTACCCTAATACACATACATCTATATAAATGTGTGTATAGCAAGTATGTTGGATAGATATCACTCCTTTATCTTTTTTCCTCCTTTCAATAAATAAATTAAACGGATTTCAATTTGAATTTATTTATTTTACATTATGACCTACTTTTCATACAGCAAAGCGTCAACAAAATCTTTGTATAGGATCGCTGTGCAGATTATCTTAGCTCTGTTTATAACCAGGCCAGAAGCTGGGTTACACTAAATATTGTTCTAAACAAGGACATAAGCTTGTTTACATTAAATATTGTTCTCAACTTTGAAGTAAAAATATATTGCAACCTCAATCGTTTGTGACATACGGATGGCTATGTGAAACACATGTTTTCAAAGCTATCGGAATGACAATATAATTTATGTAAAGCCCATTTATTTGACATTCATATTCATATCGTCACGATTTGAATATGACAAGTTCTTCCGATTTTGACAATGATCGAGTTCAGCGTTAAAGTAACAGTTAAGATATAAAAGAAAAATGTGATAAAATAACTCTACCCGTATAAATATCATCTGTTACCTTAATGTTAAGCATATTATGTTATTAATAAAGCACATATTGATAAAGTAAGTAAATTAACATGCATATAACAAAAATAATCCGTTATTTTGTTTTTATTTGATTGGAGCCCTCAAATTATACTACATCGTATGATGACGTGATGCTATTTGCTATTCAGTCATACATAGGAATGAGTATTGTTATATTCAGAGTAATAACATTGTACATACATTAAAAAAATCGATTTTTAAAATCACATTCAAGATGAAATTTTGCGTATCACATTTTCCACACAGACTAAACTGTCTAAAATGTTTCTCCTCCTTCAACTGTAAATTGTAAGCGTACAACCTGATGTCCGTCAAAATGTTAACAGCTGACACAGCATACATAATGGCTACTCTGCCCTACACAAACTTGCATTTCAATCAATATAAAGGCATTCTACCACCTTCGACACGGTCTGGAAAGTATTTCACAATTCATCCCCAGTTCGCCGGTGTGGCTTAAGTGTGGGAAATGTTATCGGAGTTTATACATAAGCAATTAAAACAAATCCTCACAGAAAGGTAACAACAATTGGTAGGATTGATATCATGGTGACAGGATGGCAACAATGGTCTGTAGGATTGATATCATGGTGACAGGATGGCACGGTGGTCTGTCGAATTGATATCATGGTGACAGGATGGCAACAATGGTCTGTAGATTTAATATCGTTGTGACAGGATATTGACAATAATTGGTAGGATAGATATCATTTCGACAGGAGGATGACATCAGTCGTTGAGATTGTTTTATGATTTAAGGCATGAGACTAAATTTGGTTCGCTTATTCAAACTTATTTTTCTTTTAGCCTTCTTAATATTGCACACACCTTTGACGATATACTGTTTGTACAATATATAACTGATAATCTATGTAAATGTTTGTTTGTAACACTACCCGATTATCGCTTAATGTACCAAACATTGATGCACTTATTACTTTCAATGTCTGAAAATAATTTACAGATAATTTGAACAATTAAATACAAACGCGTCTTCATATGTTCATATCATGAAACATTGCCGCATGATTATTAGCATCAGCCCACATTCTGGTCTTGCCCGAGTAGAAACTAGCATTAAGTATCCGCTTTAATGCATTACGTCACAAAGAAGACAATGACGTTATTTTGACCTCATACGGAATGCTTTTACGGTAAAAAATGCCGTTTCTTTTTAACCGCTTGAAAAAATACAATCATGTGTCGAATGTGCCTGTTTTCTGAATGTCAAAGTTTTACACAATTTGTTTTGCTATTTTTAATACATATTCAATAATTTCCTTTAACGTGATTTACGTGACGTCATCATTTACAACGAACCAATTTGTCCTTGCTATTGAGTACAAACAGTCGAATAGAATTAGTTCCCAACATCTTGCAGTAAAAGCTACCGACCTCAAATGAAAATCTACATTTTGTGATGTTTTTGAATATAAAGTAACCATAGTATACATATGTCTATCCCGTCATCAATGATATATCAACTAGGCCGCAAAATTAACAAGTTACATTTATAATCCTAAAAACAGTTCGAGAACCTGCCAAATCAGTATTGTCGCTAATGGATAAGCTTATTTATTATACAAAGCTGCAATTTATGAGGTAAACTGTACTATAGCCATGAATACAGATGGGATCATTAACAGCAAACTTTTGTAAAATAGAGATAAAAGTGTACGTACCACTAAAAGCTTTCCTTTTTAACCAGTGTAGGTAAACAACCCAAGGACAATGACACAAACAACCAAGGACCACCCAGGCGACATAAACGCATCTGTGGTATCAACACAATTTGATATCCGAACCGAGCATGTCGGAGCTAAATACGCATAAAGGTTCGTTAACGTTACGTTTCTTAATGCTCTTTTTGATCGTTCTGTACAATTTTATCTGTTTACTTTTTATGTGAAGTTTTGTAAAGACCATCATTTAATATCTCTAGACATACATGTTGTTCTTTTAGTTTCAAATTTTTGGAAAAAAATACCAGATGAAAATAAGTGTTCAGTTATCTTTAAGCTGATTTGGCTTTGAGGTGATAACTCCAGTTGACCTCAAAACAAACTAAACAGACGAGTTTTTCAAACTTTTTCTATTCACACGTGATCAACAAGAGTTATCCCCTCGGAACTTGATCGAAATATCAAACATTCCTTAACGATAAATATTTATATTAATTACCGTTATTGTCCGTCATCCTGTAGAGATCAAACCAATCGCCACTCAATAATGCATTTGATGTTACAACGATGAGTTACTAATCCTTTAAACTATAAGAGAACCTGCCATATTAATATTGTCGCTATAGGATAATTACTGACCAAACCTGTCTGCATTATAAGCTTATTTATATTACAGAGCTGCAATCTATGAGGTAAACAGTTTTGACTACAGATGGGATCATCCACAGCAAACTTTTGTAAAATAAAGATAAACGTTGACGTACCACTTAAAGCTTTCCTTTTTAATCAGTGTAGGTAAACAATGCAAGGACAAACACATAAGCATACCCTGACCACCAAGGAGAAGTAAATATATATGAGGAATAAAAAAGATTGATATCCAGAACCAGTTGACCAATCTGTAAAATTACTTTTTTTTGTCTGTCTTTTTTAAGACGATCGTTAAGGATTCTGCGTTGACTTTTCTTTTGGGTTTTAAACAACATTGCCTCATGTTAAAGTGAACATATCTGAGATGTTCGAAATGTTCAAAATCGTATTTTGATTTCAGATAACAATCTGTTTGCACTATAATGATCTCTTCAAACTCCACGTCTATAAACTCATCTGTCATTTTCAATGACTATTTGATAGCAATCTTGGTACACTAGAAAGATTTTTCAATCTCAATGTCAATAAACTCACCTAATGTTTCCATATCCTAAATCAGTTACATATGACTCTTATTTTTCTATGCTTCCTGTAGCAGTGTTTCGGTGTGACACTGTTATACGTGGCAGTGTTTCGGTGTGACACTGGTATACGTGGCTGTGTATCTGTGTAATACTGTTATAAGTGGCAGTGTTTTGGTGTGACACTGCATGGCATACCTGGTTGTGTATCTGTGTAACACTGTTATACATGGCAGTGTTTTGGTGTGACACTGTTACATTGTATACATGGCAGTGTTTTCGGTGTGACACTGGTATACGTGGCAGTGTTTCGGTGTAACACTGTTAACTTGGTAGTGTATCGAGTGACACTGTTATACGTGGCAGTGTTTCGGTGTGAGACTGTTAAACGTGGCAGTGTTTCGGTGTGTGACTGTTTTACGTGGCAGTGTTTCCGTGTGACACTGTTAGACGTGGCAGTGTTTCGTTGTGTGACTGTAATAATTGGCAGTGTTTCAGTGTGACACTGT